ACTGGCTTGAGAACCACCGTATTATGTAATGCACCAAATACGTCACTGGCTGTAAGTTCAGTTCATCATCAATGTCACTATTGCAGAATATCAGCCCATCTGATGATGTAAGATCTAAACACGTTATACACATCCCACTATTACATCCAGTAGTAGTAGTACTAGTAGGAAGAAGAAGAAGAAGAATTGTGCTGTCCACCTCAAACCTAATAGAATTAAGGCTGAAATTTAAGTCATTGGATCAATCACTATATCACAAGTAGACAGACATTCAGATCTAGTTTTCTGATCCTGCATTTATACAGTCAGAAGTTCATAGGATGTATAGAAAATACAGCATAATACAGCGTTCACATAGGTCGCTGATGTTGCTGATGCTAACTGAACTGTATTGATTTTTCCTCAAGCCAAAGTACCTGAGGCATTTATTAACTGGATTAGTTTTAAGATCAGATGCAGGACTAATAAAAACTTTGGGGGTCCTTTGAAATAGGAAATACGTGTTGTGGTATTATACTATGATAAAAAGAGTACGTTTGGAGAAAATACTAGCCTTCACACTGCGGACGTCACAAGTAGGAGTGGTCTATTTAACTGACTCTAATCAGGTATTCAGGTTTAGGTTGCTTCGTGACTTTTGAACAGAAATATGACTCGAATAGAAGGGATACTGCTGTTACTGTGTAGCCAGACCAAAAGATGTGAAGTATAAACTTCTTTATATAAATGTATTTATTACTTACCTGTTAGCTTTTTTCCCTAATTCCACTTACTGGTGGTTTCCCCTCTCACAAGGCTCCAGTTGATCTTGGAGTGTGAAGACCAGCAGGAAACATTTTTAAACTGCTGTTCATACGACACCATATAGCGGCCAAACATGCACACAGGCGAAGGTTGACTACCCGGTTCTGTTTTTATGTGCACTAGCAGATGCCTACTGCCTTAGATTGACAGTGGAAAGGAGCTGCAGTCATTAGGACTGCAGTCATGAGCTGCAGTCATCAGGTTGAAGTGGCACAAATCTGATTTTTTTTGCCCTGATGTGACTCAGATCTGATGTTTTCAGAGCTGTGTGGACACGCAAATCTGATCTTTTCAAACCCAACATGAGTCACTTTCATATGTCGAAGATCGGATACATATCCAATTTGTGGCCATGCAACCTTAATGTGACGCTCAGATCTTCTCTAATGTGATGGTCAGATCTTAATTTTCTTCTCAGCGAAGCTCGTTCTGCTCGTTAGTTTGTTAGCTGATGGCGCACGCAATTCATTCACGGTCATTTCAGGACGCCGGTTCGTTCACATTAATGACAGTCACTTAGCTAAATGAGTGTGAACCATTGTGTCAGAGAGATCATTTGAGCAATGAGGCTTGTGATGTGAACGTAGCTTTTGTGTACGGGTTCTTCACTACTCAGTCAACTGTACAGACTAACAGTCCAGAGAAACACAGTGGTTTTGGTCATATTTGCAAGTTAGTATGATTTGTTGTATTTTGCTACTCCGAAACACGAGTGCTTGAACGCGAGCGTGTTGGTAGGATGCTTTGTTAGATGTGTGACTGAGAAGGCAGAGCGGATGCAATGCTATTGATGCTAACTACTCCTGCTAATGCTAACCAGGTTTAAGAACTACTAGAAACAGTGAAAACGTGTTTCCCTGACAAAAACGGTGGCACATCATCCAATGAGGAGAAAAGGCCCTTGTGTAGCACCCAAGTTGTCCTCATGAGCGTCCAGCGTGATCCACTTGTTAGCTTTGTGGCAGCCTCCGTTACTCATCAAACACGAAATATCTACCAATTTTCCTCAGCAGTTTTTGAATAATAGCTGTTCCACTGCATGCTGTTGTAGTTTTGTGCAGCACCAGTGCTGCTTCCTGAAAAGATAAACTTACAGCCCTACCAGATTTATTATTTTCACTCATGAATTCTTTGCAGAAAGATGGGAAAAATCCCCTTTAACCTAAAGACAAACTGTAACACAACATGTTACATGACTGTCATTTTCTATGTATGGGGAGAAATAACAATAACAGTAACCATGTGTTGGAGGTGGTGTTATCCTCTAATCTATTTAACCATCACTTGAAGGACTTAAGAGGTGAATTTAATCATAATTATTACATAATAACTACCATGTCATAAATGAATCCACAAAGAATGATTTTTTAGCTGAATGTCTATATTAGCATATTAGCTAAGAGACATTCCTCTTTGTCAGGTTTTCGGACTCTAAGATTTCATTGGCATTTCCGCACATTAGCTACATTCTTTATTAGCTAGTTTGCTTACTGGAATTGCATCCATGTCCACAAATTGTGAATTAGGGGACCTGTCACAGTATCAGAGTGAAACAAATCTACCAGCCAAGTTCAGGTATTTACCAGCAATTAAGATGTGGCTGGTGTTAAGTTGCTGTCCTCCACAGGTATTACAATGATCTGTAATAAGATGTTATAAATACACAGAAAAAAAATTCTCCGTCAGAAAAAGGCAGCCAACTAGTTTACAAGTGGTAGAAATTCAGCACTACTTCCGCTATGAATGGACATCCTACAAAGATCAGTAATCCTCAAACAAGAGGCAAGGATCCCTCACATTACAGCTAAGGATCTGTTTATCACTGCTTTTCAAAAAACCTCACCACATGTTCCAGGTTTGCTACATATTTCCTGTATGTTAATCAGCAGTGCTTGAACAGAGAGGCCTGAGCGATGTAGGCTGTCCTGTCAGATGAGCAACTTGCTACCCAGAATGCAAAAATGATATACACTGTGATACGTTGTGTATTTCCATTCTAACGTATTGTAGTGTGTGGTTTTGTACAGTTGTATTGTGGCAGGCATGTTTGCTTGTGTATAGCATTTTAGATCAGAACATATAAAGCATTTTTTTCGTTCTTTGTTTTGTGAAGATCCCAGTCTAAAGCCCCAAATATTGTACCTTAATAATATTAAATTATTGTTGGCATATTAACATAAGACACATTATTCTAGGGATGGGTGATATTGCCAAAATATACTACTGTGATACTTCAGGAAATGTTCTCGATACATGATATGTCACTGTTTATTTTTTCAGACATTTCATTAGTTGGAAAAGAGAAAAAAAGAACCGGTAGTGCTACATTTGAAAAATTACCAAATACCAATATCAAAAACTGTGATGATTTTTATTCAATATTGCCATACTGTGTTAAACTAAATCCAGTTAAACAGACCTAATTTTGCACTCTTTACAATGAAACATGCTTTCTAAGTATTTGAATTGTTGAATCGAGACGCCACTCTATTGTATTGAATTATAAATTTTGTGAATTGTTACTCCTAAAAGCTAAAGCTAACACTAGAGTGAACTGGTGCAGAGTTACCCTGTGTTCACACTGGCAGGCAACAGAGCGACAAGTGACCAGTTCCTATGTTTCCTATGGGAGTGCGCAATTTTGTTGGTGTGATTTAGTCACCAGTGGCAAATGGTCCTGCAGCAAAGCAGCAGCTCGAGTTGAGATTTTCTCAGCTTGTGAATTATGAGGTGGTGAGGGGACATTTCAAACAATTGGCTCCAACAAATTCTTCTGACGAATGGTGACACTGGGGTCTGAGGTCCCCAGCTTCTACTCTCTGAACTTATTGTTCCTATTGGCGTTTCCTTCCTGTTCTCAACAGTGTGGCGCTAACCTTGAAAGAGGGACTAATAACCACTGTTTTTTTCCTTTCTTGTTCTGTATGAATGGTGGCATTTCGATATTATCGATAATCATGATACTTTTATTATTATATTTTTTTTTACTAGAAAATATCAGGCCAATTATATTTAAATATCGCCCAGGCCTACTCTAAAGGATTTTGCTAGATTCTCGTTTTTCAAGTCACTGTTTCTAGAGTTTAATGTGACTTTACAGTATATGTTATGAACACCTTGTATACAGTGAAAAAGTATTTGCCCCAGTCCTGATTTCCTCTGTTTTTGTATATTTGTCACAGTGTATATTTGTTAGTTTATACAAAATGTAACGTAAGATAACAACATGGAGAAGGACAAAACAGTTTCAAATGAACATTTCATTTATTGACAAAAAATTGATTGCCCACATCCCCTCAAACTCAGTAACTGGAGTCTAGACTTTCTCATCACTGTGGAGGAATTTTGGCCCACTCTTCTTTGCAGTATTGGTTTATTTCAGCCACATTAGATGTCTTTCAAGAATGAACTGCCCATTCAAAGTCTTCCCACGTCATCTCACTGGGGTTTAAGGACTTTGAATAGGACGCTCCAAAACCTTGATTTTGTTTCTTTGGAGCCGTTCTGAGGTGGACTTGCTCTTGTGCTTCCGATCATTTCTTTACAGCATAGCCCAATTTCGCTTGAGCTTCCAATCACTGACTCATGACGGGACAGTCCTCCTGCGGGATTCTCCTGGTAGAGAGCAGAATTCAAATGTGCTTAAATGGTTAATTAACTAGGGGGGCACTTGCTTTTTTACACAATGCCAGCTTTTTTTTTTAAATCATCACTTAAAAACTGTTTTCTGTTTGTAGTTGTCTTTGTCTCTAATATTGCTTGAAGATCTGAAACAATTAAATGTTTTAAATATAAAAGTAAAGCCAAAATAGAGGGAGGGGCCCAATACTTTTTTTCATTGCAGTAGCTGTTAGGAATGTAAATGAATAAAAAAGTTCCTATTTGGTCAGTGTCTGATTAGTTTCTCCTGAAAGCAGACTTTTCTTCTTCAAAGATTGGTAATCTGATTAAATGAGAGTTGACATTATTAGTTTCAAACCCATTAAGCATTGAAAGCGTGACTTTAGTCCTGCAAATGTACTTTTTAAGGTAATGACCCATTGATTCAGCTGCCCGCTTGATTTCTCAGGAATGTTAGCATGTCAACGTCAACACAGTCGACTGTAATGTAAAGCATTTACAAAAAAATGCAGAAATTCTTGATCAGTGATCAGTTGCTTTCTGTTAAAGATGTTTTTTGTTCTGTCTGTTCGCAGGGCCGCTGTGACTGAGGCGTGATGTCTGCCAAAGCCATCTCAGAGCAGACGGGGAAAGAGTTCCTGTATAAATACATCTGCACCACGGCTGCCGTGCAGAACCGCTTCCGTTACGCCACAGTCACCTCCGAGACTGATTGGGAACGTCTCACACAGGATCACCCGTGGCTCCTCACTGAGGTCAGTTTGTATGAGTGCATGAGAACCATGTAAGTTCTTGCTGATTTAATTATTGTCTCCTGTGTGAGTGGATTGCAAATCCTTTGCGAAAGAAGTTTGATCCTCCTTAACATAAAGGCTACCACACACCACTTGCCAGATGGACAACAAAAAAAGTAAGCACTTCTATCAATCTTCAGCATCAATGTGGGGCAACAGTCAACTTTCAGCATTGGACACTAATATTGGGCTGTATGCCAACTCATTCAGTATATTGGTCAAAATTCCTACTCAGGTTTGTGTTTTGTCATTGCCGTTAAACCACAAATAAGCACAGATAACGCAACATGCAAACATTGCAAACCACACACTAATTAGCCCTTTTAGCCATATGACTTAGGAATGTTTGTTGTATTTTAAATAAAAATGGAAATGCAGCAGCAGTCCCTCAACCACCTCCCGCTGTCTAGTCTGTTGCATCTGAAGTAGTGCACTTTGTTTTCAAGGCAGGCAGCAGACATATGTCTGATCTTTTAGATTAGCCTTAGCCTTACATTGACACTAGACTGATTGTCACATATCCTCTTGTACCTACTGACTCGGTCAGCTGCATCAGACAGTGCTGCTGCCTTGAAGCCTTATCAGTGCAGCAAGCCCTGGACCAGCTGATACAGAAGTGTGATTGACTGTATTTTCCAAATTCCAGCAACATCTGACAGTCTCGAGTTAATGGTGCACTTGTATGAGACAAATGACTGGAGAAATTAAAGGTGGCTTCCTATTCGAATTTCTTGTTCCACCTTAAATGATGCCTCAGTTACATTCAGGAGCCTGTTCAGGTACCAAAATATAACTGCTGTTCTATTTAAGGTAAAATTTTGAAGCTTACAGCTTGTAGAAGTTCTTTGTTGTTCTTGGGCCTGCGGGGCTAGTGTTAGATAGCAGTATTGACGTAGATTTATCGGTTTATTGTTATTTTTCATAGTAAAGATATTTCAGATTTAATGTGGTTGGTAAAAATTACTTACTAAAAAGTGGCATATCCCTGTATATTAATGTTACCCTACAATGGATTACTTAAGCATCTTATGTTTGTGTGTGTGTACATGTAACTAATGACTGTCAATAGGATTGATCCTTAGCTTTTTTTTTTTATCTGTTTCACAATCCTGATTTATAGGTTTAAATAATCTGAGTGTCGGGAGATTAGATTACACTATGAAAGACCAATATCAAAACATTAGAGATTAAATCACACAGGCAGGATTTCTGATTGTGTTTAAAATAATCCCTGATGCAAAAACAATGTTATGATGTTGGTCTTTCACCGTGTGACTAATCTCCTCTGCAGCGTTTTATGGCAGTTATTGTTTTACGAAATGTCTTGCTAATTTCCTGTTCTGTGTTGCGATGGTGACACCTTTCCATCTTTTTCCCTCTGTGCAGCGACTAGTGGTGAAGCCTGATCAGCTGATTAAGAGACGGGGGAAGCTGGGATTGGTGGGTGTGGACCTGGACCTGCAGGGTGTCCAGGAATGGCTGAAACCACGCCTGATGAGAGAAACCACAGTGAGTACAAGGGAAATAATTGAGTTTCAGTTGATTTCAAAGTATCAAAAAGAAGTGGAAGTCTGCATTCCTGAATCATAATTTTCAAAATGTATTTCCCATATTTAGCATAAATGTAGGTTAACTATGCAAGGTCACAAAAATAACTGTAAACTGTGGTGGTTATAAAGGTTTCTGTTCTAGTTAATCAGATTGATTTTACGGTGAATGAGCCAAAATTCCTCTCTCTAGTCACTTTGAATTGTCTTTACTTATTTGCAGTTGCTGATGAACTTAATGCCAAGTTGTCTGGCGAGATATGACTGTCAAAATAAAAGTCACGGATGAAGGTCAATGGAAAAATGAAGATTTAAATGTATGAAAATGTCTGAATGTTAGAAACCACCGTTCCAGGCCAGGAGGAAGTAATCTCATCATATGCATTGTCTACCAAATACATAGTAGAATATGCCATTTCTGACCGTAAATGAAAGAAACAGCAAGTGTCTATTTTGGCTTGAATAAAAATTTTAAAATGCATGGAAATATTTGCAGATATCTGACAAAGTGGTATGTTTTCTTGATGAGCTGAGGAGCAGAAATATGTTCTTGCATGAGGTAACTGGATGGGCTGCTTCAGATGGCAGACTTTGTGTTTTCTCTGCATGTGGACATTGTGTAGAATGAATAAGCTAATAATCACTTAGTTTTGTTACATATTAAAAGAAGTGAAGTAAGCTGCTAGTTTAGCTTCCTGGCTACATGCTGCGACCCACTGCGGCCAGTTAAGGAATTCATTTTTGTTACAGGTCAGAATGTGTAACAACGCTGCCGAAAATGTTTTTTTTGGTTATGGCATTTTTGGTCAACCTCAGTGTTACAATATTTCTGATGTTCTAATTCAGCTGTTTTTACTGTAAGTTTAAGAAATGTGATCATTGAGAAAAGTCTTAGTTTACAGTTGACTGCAGGTAATATCAGTTGTATTAGTGAAAACTGAATATATCAATCGGGCCCTGATTCAGATATAATCTAAAAGAATTTTTTTTCATCACTGTGGCAACATATCATCATACTGTCATACTTGACCGTCAGAATAAGCTTGTGCAGAGCGAAGAGTTTTATTTTTGGGTGAGACTTGGACACATGAATACAGCGGGTAGGGTGAAAATAAGAAAGAACCTATTGTTTTGAGTTACTGTGCCTGGACTATCAGTCTTAAGCACAGTGGCGTCAGCAGACTGGAAAACTTGTTTATCTGCTGTTTTCTGTGCCATCTGTAGTCATTTATTGTAAGTTACTGAGGCTTCAAGGACAGTCGAAGACCACGATGCACAGTTTACAGTTAGCATGTTGAAAAACTCTGTTCTTATGTCTCTATGTATGAAAAAGTCTATTCTGCTTTCCTTGATTACATATAAAATATACTCAAGTTCATGTCCAGCCTTAAAAAACAAAAACTGTTCAGGGAAATGAGATGAGCTTGAGGTGAAGCTTGTGTTCAGCTAAACTGTTTTAAGGGCTGTTTAAAAAATATGGGGATCTTCTGTTTTTTTTACAGGTGGGCAAGGCAAAGGGCATCCTTAAGAACTTCCTCATTGAGCCATTCGTGCCCCACTCACAGGTAATAAACTCACTGGGACATGGAGTTTGGTGATATACTGAGCAAACATTACAAATGCACTGTATCTAAATGTGCCAGGTTGTAATGCTGTGTTTCCTGGATGCAGTAAATAAGTAAAAACGTTACACTTGGCTTTTAGCAGTGTGAAGCAGGGTTGGTTGAGTTGGATCAAGATGATAGTTTTGTGTTTTTTAGTGTAATGTGTTATTTCTATATTAGTTTTAGTTTCTCTGTGGAAGTCTCTAGGGCCCATTTCATGAAGAAAATGAATTTCCTTTTAAATGAGTTTAATTGTATGTAAACATTGAGTTCTTCAGTCATACAGTTTCCCATTCATGTGTGGAAACTAAGTTGTAACAACCTGTTTTGAATTTGATGTTTTTGCGATGACATGAAAACCAGTACATTTTAATGTATTCGTCATACAGCATGTGAGTTGTGCCTGTTTATGTTAATGTGATATGAAGTGTTTCAGCTTGACCTGCGTGTTAAATAAGGCACAATACAGGGCAGCCAATCAAAACAGAGGTAATTCACAAGGCCGTCATTAATAGACCGTGTCCCTTTTTAAATTAATAAAAATCTGAATTTGTTGTTGATAAGTTGGAAAATAGTAATGTTAAAAAATGAATTATGTTTTTGGTGCATAAACCCACTCAAACGTCATATACAGCAGAAGTGTAGGATATGGACCCTTTTTCTAGAGTTCATGTATAAATGTTCAGCTATGGCAGTGTTAATATTAAGTATGCGCATATAGTATGTGTCAGTCTTTTCTCTCTCTTTCTCAGGAGGAGGAGTTTTATGTGTGTATTTACGCCATGCGGGAGGGCGATTACGTACTGTTTCATCATGAGGGTGGCATGGAGGTTGGAGATGTGGACTCCAAAGCGCAGCGACTGCTGGTGGGCGTGGATGAGAAGCTCACTGAGGACGCAGTTGCTGAGCAACTGCTGGCACACGTTCCAGATGAGAAGAAGCAGTGAGTATCTAGCCAGTCAGTGCAGAGTGCTAGAGAGACCTCAGTCCAATATGGGTCTCTGTTAGACTCTTGAATGATGTGTTACTGACTGAGCAATTAATTTATAAGGAAGACCCCAGGTGTTCCTTTATCTTTGAGAGAGAGAACATCAAGCTTCACTGGTGTTTTTGTCCATTCATCCACTGTGGGAAGAAAACTTAATGCTGTGGGTCTGAAAGAATGTTTAGCTAACAAGAAGCCATTACTGAGAAAAGGAAATTGACCAAAAAGAAAAACATTTGCAAATCAAACAAAGAAGCTGCTGGTGTTCTCAGAATAATGAATTGGCCACCCAGAATCCAGACCTCAGTGTCACTGAATGTGTTTGATTATTTGGATTGTGAGAAGCAGAAAATGTAACCAACTTTAAAGGCTGAACTTCAAATTTCAGAGAACTTCAAAGTCTTCTGAAATGAATGTAAGCTATAATTAAGGCAAAATGTGGGCACATTAAATACTGAATTTTAATATTATATTATTTTATCCTGAAACATGAGTAATGAGTACTTAATGGCCATTTTGACTGGAAATTAAGTAAATACAAATTATTGAAATGGAACCCTGACTGTTAAGATAGTTAGGTCTGTATAATATAGTGTACATGACCAACACTATTAAATCTATTTTTTAACCCAAGCAAAATACAGTGATGGTCTACTATTGGAGGGTTTTCCTATTTATTCACCATTAACAACATTTTCATTTGGTTTGTGCATTATATTTTAAGAGTGATATACATACAGTAGTTTAAGGCATACAAATCTTAACAGTCAGGCTTACCTTTAAATTATACTTTATTCAAGTTAAGCTCTGGTGTTTACTATTCAGTCTTAATATTGATCAGTAATTTGTTTGTTTGAATTATTGTCCATTATCCTTTGAAAGCTGTAATAAAATTGCAACATTGTGCATTTTTGTCCACAGGGTTCTGGCCAGTTTCATTGTGGGACTCTTTAACCTGTATGAGGATTTGTACTTCACATACCTCGAAATTAACCCGCTCGGTAAGTGCTTTGCTTTCCTTTTGCATTCATCTCTTGCTGTCTGTCTTTTGGATTCTCAGCAATCACATACAATAAAATGGTTTATAAATATTACATTGACATTTCCACAATGTTAACTGCTTGTTCCTTGCTTCCCTGAGAAGTCTTCTGTTGTGTTTTGAGGGGTGAGATGTGCTCTACGTAAAAGATTTTATTGTGTTTCAGTCGGACTTAAACACTCTATTTACCTGCACTCATATGTAAAGTGCACACTGAAGCCTGCGTTTACTTTTATGGCGTTTAGCAGACGATTTTACTCAGAGCTTCTTTGTTGTACACTCAGAGAACGTATCCTAGGTAGTACAAAATGGGTCCATCGTACCCTTGAGCTAAAACACCGCCAGAAACAAGCCAGTGCTGATACCTAGAAAGAAACATACAAAATACAGAGTTGATGCATAGCATCTGTGCAACTAGGTATATTTCAGTAAGTGCTTGATTAGTGCTTCACAAAGAGATGATGGCGATTAAAGATGCCATGGGACTCTGCTGTTTGGACAGTCAGTGGAACTTTGTTTCACAACCTGTCCTTGTCCTCTTGTACATCTTAAAGGATGGCAGTTCAAACTGAGCCGTACTTGAAGCTCAAAGGGCTCGAGGTACAGACTGAGTTTTGATCATTGCAGTTAGGTAGGGAGAGCTGGTCCGTTTTTGTCTTTGTAGGCAAGCACCAAGTTTTAAATTTGTTGCAGGCAGGTACAGGAAGCCAGTGAAGGGAACGCAGCAGTGGAGTGACATGAGTGAAGATAGCAGCTGCTGGTTGTGAGAGCTAGGTGTGGTTGATGCAACCATCAGCTATGTGTCTGAAACATTACTTTCAGTAGTAAATTGGTTATTATCCATTCTGTTTTAGCTCATTTCTGTTTTCTAATATCCGACTCTGAAGTTTATTCTGTGTAGAGCAATTATATTTGCATACTGTTCTTTGTTGAGGTTTTAGTAACAAAGCAAAAAAACAATTTTCCCTTAAATTCTGTTATAGTATCAGTATTATTCTGCTACTGTAAGCTCCTTTTCAGAAAAGCTCGCTCTGTAGCAAGTTTTAAAATGTAAATTATGTTGATGAAGCCATATATGTGCTATAAGGCTTATGACCTCAGACCTTTTGAGCATGTGTTAACTGCATTTAGTTGAAATTGTCAGCAAGAGTGGCTAAAAATTTTATACAGTTAACCAGCTATACCTAACTAGGTAGTGGCAATCAGTTTTGCATTCAAATAATTATTTAAAATAATTTTCTACTCATTCAAATAATTACTTCTCAGGTTTAGGTGCTATAGTCAGAACTTCAATGCAGCATCAGTGTCTGCTGGTATTTTGGTTATACCATCACTTACAGTTTATAATCAGGAATTAACAGTTACCACCTGCTTAGATACAGGGTAATTTGTCAGGTAACGTTTTGTCTCTGCTGTAGCAGTTCTTATTTATGTGTGTGTCTGCTTTTCTTGCTGTGCAGTCGTCAATGAAGAGGGTGTGTACGTTCTGGACATGGCCGCTAAAATCGATGCCACAGCTGACTTCATCTGTAAGCCTAAATGGGGCGACGTGGAGTTTCCTCCTCCGTTTGGAAGAGAGGCTTACCCTGAGGTAAAGGAACAAACCTCCACACACATACTCATGTACTCAGAGTGGGGTTGGGAGGTGTGTTGGTATAAAATATCTGTTGATATGAAATGATCTTTAAATGTTATCAGTTTTTGATTACAAAAAACTTCAGTCACTGTTCAAAACTCGTATTGCTCTCATTTTGTGCAGAGTGCCGTAAGCCTTTACCACATAATTTTACATAGATTTGGCTGATATCGTTTATTTGGTGTATGAGAAGACCCTGAGTGAAAACTGTGATAACCAGCCCCCTTTAACTACTTTTTTTTTGTGCATGTGTGTGTTCGTAGGAGGCCTACATAGCAGACTTGGATGCTAAGAGTGGTGCTAGTCTCAAACTGACTCTGCTGAATCCTAGAGGACGCATCTGGACCATGGTTGCAGGAGGAGGTGCATCGGTGGTCTACAGGTGTGCCAGATAATATAACATTTAACATTTTTCCACTCAACACAGATTGTTTATTCTTCATTCCTTTTCTATGACTTCTTTGTATTCCTCTCTGCATATATATTTCTTAAAAGCTGTAGAAATGGCCTATATGTTAGTGGTTCCCAAAATGTTTTCCTTTTTGACTAGGCTTGCTTAATCGCTACCCAGTTGGTTCAGTTAAGTGTGCCAGAAACGTTAATCAGATAACATTTTGATTGTAAAACAGTTTTATAGATACTTATGCTTTATTTACATTCAATTAAATATCTATTAAATTAACCTAAATTTTTCCTAAAAGTGAAGCTAACCTTTACTCTGGTCCTAAACCAAACCCTGATTTAAACCCTGACTCTAAGACAGTTGAGAACCAGTTTCACTACACAGTTTGAACAATGAGTTAAAAGGGCTACAGAGTACTAACAAAGTTGTCATGAAAGCCTTTACATATGTCTGCCTATATCAGATTAGCCCCACCCATTCACACTGGTGTTATAAGGACTGTTTAAGCCCGAACTGCTTTTTGAGAGGGCAACCAATCAGAACAGAGCTCATTTACATGTGTGTCTTAAAGGCGCTGTAACAAAAACAGCCTGTTTAAAGTGAGCTCATGTAAAAACTAATTATAACTTTTTTGTTACATATACCCACACAAACATCATAACTGCATAACTGCCCAGGAAAAAATAAAATGCAAAAAGAATATAGAATATGGTCCATTAAAAGAGAACTGATTTCTTTAAAATGTCCCTGTAGTACAATTCCTGGAACATGTCTGCTTCCAAGGGGCATAAAATGACTAATGTTTGATTGAATCTTAAACCCTAGTGTTAGTGCTGTGCCGTCTGCTCTGAGTAAGATGTGATGGGTTTTTGCCATGTCTGCTTAGTGACACCATATGTGATCTGGGTGGAGTGGATGAGCTGGCAAACTACGGGGAATACTCCGGCGCTCCCAGTGAACAACAGACGTATGACTATGCCAAGACCATACTCTCACTCATGACCCGTGAGAAACACCCTGATGGTAAGAGTGTGATTATAAGAGAGAGAACAAAAAAAATAAAAAGAAAAGTTTTTATAGAGAAACAGATCTGACTGATAGTCCAAAGCAAATGAAATTTTGTCACAGTTACTTTTTAACTGTATAGTTTTTAATCAGCCATTTGAACGTTTTCTACTGTATCATTTGTTTTTTATCTTTACATTTGTGTTCTTTTGACAGGAAAAGTATTAATCATCGGTGGAAGTATTGCTAACTTCACCAACGTAGCAGCTACCTTTAAAGTAAGGGTCTTCCACAGTCTTACATTGCATTTTGTAATAAAATAGCAAAAAAAAATTAATAGTATTAGTCAAGTGGTTACTGATTGTTGCTTGTTAAATGTCTGGTGTAATATCCAAAGTGTATAGTCAAAAGTAGCCCCCGACTAATGTGTCATTTGGCCAATAATGATGATCTGCAGTTTTAACAGTAATCAGCGACCTCCCGGTGATAGGGTAAAACCTTAGCTGGTTGTCCCACAAGGGAACCCAATATGTCTCATCCTGTTTAAATGCATCAAAACAATACAGGCTGAAATCTGAACACGAATTTTACCTGGTCAGACCCTCTAAATATTTCAAATTTGATATATTCCTTTCAGGATACTCATATAGACAAACAAACTATTACTTTGTGAGTTTTTTAATGTCTAACATGACACCATAGTGCCTGTGGCAGCATGTTTGGTCTGGGGTTATTTATTAGTCTCACACTGTTTAATGGTCTCTTTGTAGTAGTTTCTATAAAAGATTGTATTTTAATGGACCATGTATTGGACCGCCATGCCTCTCCTTTCCTGTTTAGGGCATTGTCCGAGCCATTAAAGACTACCAGGGCCCTCTGAAAGAGCATGAGGTTACCATCTTCGTCCGTCGTGGAGGGCCGAATTATCAGGAGGGGCTCAGGGTAATGGGAGAAGTCGGTAAGTGGTGGTACTGATCTTCCTTTTTGCTGTTTTCTCATACAAGCTATGCAGTATGTCCAAATATTTATAGGACCCTAATTAGTGAGGTAAATTTAGTGAATATTCATCATAGAAAAGCATTACCACTAGAATGGGATGATCTGGGGCAGCTGCACACGGGCCTAAGGTCACTTTGCCAAGAATCGACTAGAGACGTGTAAAGCCCCCCAGTATTGGGCTGTGGAGCAGTGGAACCTCTTTCTCTGGAGTGATGAAGCTCCATTCAGTAGCATTGGGATGAGTTGGAGTGATCCAGAACTAATCCCCCAACATCAGTACCTGACCTCACTAGTGCTCTTGTGGATGAATGCAATCAAATCCTCACAGCAGTGTTCCAACATCTAACGTAAAGTCTTCTCAAAAGAGTAGGTGCTGTTAGTTCAACAAAGGAGGACTTATCTCCCGCCTGCCCCAGCAACATAATCATTTTCCCTGATGGGTCGCTAATGATGTTATCTACTGTGTCTTTGTCCAGGAAAGACCACTGGGATTCCCATTCATGTCTTTGGCACAGAGACCCACATGACTGCCATTGTTGGCATGGCACTCGGCCATCGACCAATCCCCAACCAGCCTCCAGTTGCCGCCCACACAGCCAACTTCTTGTTGAACTCCAGTAGCAGTGCTGCAGTAAGTGTGCATGAGTTTGGGTGTGTGCAGGTGTGGTATCTACACTACCCATCAAGAGTTTGGGTACAGCTAATTTTTCAAACTCTTTAAATTCATATGAGTATATACTTTATCAGTTTATTATAAGACATTAAACGAAAATGGTTGAATGGAAAATCATAATAACAGAGCATTCTACTAGTAATGAAAGTGAAAAACAGTGATTAAAACGCTGTTTGAGTTCTTCGCTTTACTGCACTGGTCAGTACACATGTTCATGCTTTTCTTTGGAGTCCTGAATTTTGTTTTTTTGTCAGAAATTTTCATTTCGGTGCATCAGGAATAATAAAGCCAAAGCAGATTTATTTAGAGGAAAACAATATCACGCATGTAAATATATGTAGCAGCATCCATGAGAGTCCTACTTTGTGAATAATGCCTAAATAATAAAACACATTTTGTGCCCTTGTTATCAGCACCTGTGAGCCTGATGAAGTATTTTCAAATTTATTAACTAAAAGCTGATTTATGCTTTGCATTTTTTATGCTTAAATTTTCTAACATTACTTAATATAGTTACCTATTTTTTATGTGATCTAATATAGAAGTAAGAGTGAGAGAACTCAAAATCTCTGTCTTTTCACATTTAAGCTGGCCACGACTATCAGGATTTTGTCAGGTGCATTCTGATTGGCTATCCATACTTCTGTACACAAGCTTTCACAAAGCACTTGCTCTTTGCATGTTTTTAACAGTTTATTCCTCTTGGTCTGTGCCTGGTCATTTTGCATGTCAGTCAGATGACTTTTCCCTGTTAAAGTAGATGGTTTTTGGCCATGTTTAGTGAAAAAAACGCATCGAAGTCTGGCAGAAGTTTGGCTGGTGAGACTACCCCAACTTGTCAGACAGAGTGTACTCATGATTTTCTGATAGTTCTACTATTCTATTGTAACGTTTAACTTCATCAAGGACTGTGCTTGACTGCATAGAGTTAGTTATACAAAGTAGTAATGATGATAATAATAAGTAATTTAAGTGTGTTTCCTGTAGAGAACGTGTTAATTTATTTTCACTGAGAAGATGAACAGAACATGTAATTTGACTGTAGGTCTTTTTGCATAAGACTATATGTGCGTGAATCTTTATTTATTCACTCTTTATTTCATTCTGCTTGTAGACTCCAGCAACAACCAGAACCGCATCGTTCTCTGAGCACAAACTGACCAATGATGTCACACCTGCTAAGAAAGCCAAGCCAGGAGGTCCAGCAGGTAACTAGAGACCAGCCATCTTCTACCAAAAGAGACACAGGCTTATTGGCCTGGATTAAATCATACAGATCTTGTCAAAGTGATAGGAAGTTAATATCACAAATCCAGAGTGTTCTGAAATTGCGTTAATTGAGAAGCAGCCGGAGAAAAAGACCTTCAGTGCTGATAACAGCACAGAAAAGAAAAATGTAGCCTTTCTTTAAAAATCTGGACTGAACTGGTTTGAATGCTTAGAATAACCAATTAGAGAGTTTTCACACTGGCAGAGAATGCCATCTTGTAAAGCTCAACAAAGGAGACTATTTAATTGGGAGATGCGCGCAATTTACCCAGTTCCTCCAGTCAGTAATGGTGATGTTCTCGTCAACTCTCAGCTTAGTCAGCTAGGTTAGTGTGAATGGTTAGTGATGGTCATTCTTCCCAGTCACTGTTGAAAAGCTGAGCATTAGGCAGGTAGAAGTAAATATAATAATAAAAACAATAATAATAATAATAATAATAATAATAATAATAATAATTATAAACACTGGAGGTAGGAATAGAAGAATATCCAAAAACAAAGGCACATTTCTCTCCTTCTTTTCCACTTGTTCTCTCTATTCATTAACTGACTTTGTTCATCCTTTTTCACCCTTTCAGTATTCTTCTGTTTCAGTATTTTTAATTTCTTGCTCTTCCTCTCTTTTTCCATTCTTCTGTACAACCCTCCCCTTTTCTTTCTCGTTCTTTCTTTCTTTCTTTCTTTCTTCTTCTTTCTTTCTTTCTTTCTTTCTTTCTTCTTCTTTCTTTCTTTCTTTCTTTCTTTCTTTCTTTCTTTTTTTCTCTCTATACACACCTCTAAGCTTCCTCTTTTTATCATTCTTGGCCCATGAAGAATATGTTCAGTGCAAGTGTCCAAGGTAAGAGTTTTAGGGTCATGTCATTTCCCTTTTTCCTTGCTCTTCCTTTTCTCTCTCATTCTTTACTGCCCCCGTTCAGTGCAGATAAAGGATATTTAGACTAAAGACTGTAGTGTATGTTAGGCCTGACACATTCATTACATAATCATCTGATCGCAGTTATTTAAGCTGACTGCAATTATTTTCCGTCCCATCTTTCACAGTCATATATTTACATAGCAACAAGCAGAATGTGGGTTGAGGTGAATGTATACAAATAAAAGAAATCAGAAACTGCGTCATAAGTCTAACATAAACAGCAGATCTAACTGCTCACTGGTGCTATAACACGCTTAAGAGGGCAGCAGTCAGTAATGTTTGTTTATTTGAGTTCTAACTAGCTAATGGGCAGATAATTTGTCCGTTATGCTGTAACCTTTAGTTATAGTTTGTGTGTGTGTGTGTGTGTGTAAGTAAGAGAGAAAGAGAAATGTGGCTAAAATTTGCTGTTTATTACCAGGCATGATCAGTATTCTGCTGTATTTTGTGTATTTTATAAAACAGGATTTCGCAGTTAGCTGGATAACTTAGAGAAGAATTCCATTTTTGTTTATTCAAAATATCTGTATAATTCAGTGTTTAAGGTGTAAACAGTCATTCAGAGTAGTTTGATTGAAATGCTTCATTCTATGGAAACTCAATGACTCAGATTTCTTTACAGTGGTGGTGATAGGAACCAGGGGTTGTGATGTTCACAACACAAATACAGCCATTTTATTTACTATCCAAAACACCAGTGAACCTATACATGTCTTCTGAGTTTTATTTGTAATGTTAATCTTGGTAAAATAGTGGCAAATCTGAAATAATAATATCATCTGAAGACAACATTTTGCCTCACGACACCCTGCATGTACCCCTCCACCACGAATGGATTTTAAAAATTCTGTTCAATTACACAGGGCTCAAGACTGTTCTATTTTTAGCGTACATTTTTTTTTGTTTTGTTTTTTCCCACATCGGGAACTGACAATAAAAATTCTTAAAAAATGACATTAAGATTATGTAACATTGAGTAACATCCTTTGAAAACCGTTTCACCTCTCGTTCTGAAAATTGTTACTACAAGTGTGTGTATTTGTGAGCTCCTACTGGTGTGGGCTCATGGCCAGTTGCATACTAATAGCGCCCCTTTTTGGAGAACCTTCAGACTACATGTGCTCTAAATGTCATATCCACGTGCTTCACATATTAAAAAAAAACTTAAAACTTAAGACAACTCTGAGTAGTGTAGAATACAATTAAAATTTCAGCTTTTGCAATTTGCAAATTGCACTCTTTCATATAGAGATTTTGATATAAAAACAATTCAACTGTCAGCCTTGGTTCTCTGTCAGTTTCTTTCCCAACAATGGCGATTATCGCCTTTAAAGCATCATTGTGGTAGAGTTTATCGTCAGTCTTCAGTGATATTCGGTTGCATCACCTGGTTGTCCAGGCCCAGTGCTAATATGACCAAAGGACTGTATGTTCCATTTAAGATCCTGGAGGTCTTTTTGCTTTTGAATTTATTTGGCTGTGCGGCTGAACTTTTGTGTATTAGTTAAGGGTTTTTTTATTTTCAACATTTATTTTGGTTTGTTTTTGTTGTTTTTGTTTATTTTTAATTTATTTTATTTTTGTGGTCTCTGTGTTGTGTGGTCAACAGAACTACAGAGCACAGCAGACAGGAGTGGAGGTAGGAAAGAGCATGTCAGCTTTTTCACCCCTCTCTCTCTCTCTCTCTCTCTCACTCACTCTCACTCTCACTCTCTCTCTCACTCTCTCTCTCACTCTCTCTCTCTCTCTCTCTCTCTCACTCTCTCTCTCTCTCTCTCTCTCACTCTCTCACTCACACACTCACTCTCACTCTCTCTCTCTCTCTCTCTCTCTCTCTGTCTCTCTGTCTCTGTCTCTGTCTCACACACACTCTCTACCTGTTTTTTCTGTCTCGCTCTCAGTCTGTCTCTCTTTCTCCTTTTGTCTCTCTGTCTTGCTCTATTGCCTTTCTTTCTCTTGCTCCTGTCTTTCTCTTGCTCCTGCCTTTCTTTCTTTCTTTTTTCTTTCTTTTTCTTTTTCTTTCTGTCTCTTCTTATTCTCCCCCTCTTCTCCTTCATTCTCTTTCACCCTCTTTCCTCCCTTTCTGTTTGTTCCTGAGTTGGTGTGCTTTTCATGTTATCATGGTAACTGACTGAGAATCTTTTAATGCAAAATCCTGAATGGCCAAAGTCAGCCACGTAAACACTGGCAGCCCAATCTGAATTTTCTCAATATATATTTTTGTCCAAATCCCCTTTTGTTCTTGTATATATCTTGTGTATGCTAATTGTGTGCTCAGTCAGTTACCGTGGTGACATACGCCTCCTTAACATTTTGCAGTGTTTCCCCTCAGACGGGTTCTAAAAGGACTCATGTACAGCTTTTTCATTGAACAGAAATTATCTGGCTGATTGATTAGCAGTGCCAGCAGTCTGGTCTGTTATAATCACATCTTGTAATCAATCAGTGTGTTTTAATCAGTCAGTTTGAGGGGGCGTTTGGTGGTTGTGGTTTTGGTATACAGTGGTTGTGCTTCAAAAAATAATTATGTGGTATTCCTAGAATGTTTAAAGGTGCAATAGGTAAAAGTGTATAGTGGTCAGCAGAGGTCCTCTGCAGAGTTTCCAGACAGGGGGTGCAAACCAATTAGCAACTGTGGCTAACAGCGTATAGTGGAACACAGACGAACACTGCTGTATATGTAGTCAGCTAAATAGCCAGTTATCTGGGATAATGCCAAGTTGGATTTGCTTGACAGGTGCTGTGCTTTTTAGCAGATCACACTGAGGATCGATTTGTTCACAGTGTTAAGACATACACATACTATCTCTGTGTGGCGTGAGTGTCGAAGTACATCTTGCTTTTCATTTCACTGCTCATGTTAACTGGACAGAGCAGGGGGACAGTGTGTACACACGTGCCACTTAGCAAAGCTGTGAAATAAGCAGAACAGAAAACTGAATAAAAAATTTAAAAAAGCAACTTAAAGTGTTGATCCTGACATCAGGAGATCGCAAGTTCAATTCCCGCTGATGCTATAGCCATTCATGACCAGGGGTCCAAGAGAGCACATTTGGTCTCGCTCTCTCTGGGTGAGTAAGATCCCCGCCCCCCCAGCCAGCACAGCCAGCCTAGCCAGCCTAGCGCTTTACATGACTCGGAGGAGGTATGTGTTAGACTTCACCCTCCTACCAGTGGTAGTATTGTGTGATAGGGGAAGACCTAGCTAGGTGAAGGTGGGTGAAGTTGAACACTACTAAATTTGGTAAAAAAAATGCCCAAAAATCACCAAGAAAACCTCCGCAAATTAATGACCCTTATCAAGCAGAATGCTAGATAAGCATTTTGTGCTGTATTCACATTTCCCGGTAGATCTACCAGTCTGTAAACAATAGTTAAGTAAGTAAATAAGTCCAGGAGCCCAAGAGAGCACAACTGGCTGGGTAGGTAGGATGACCCCGCCTTTCCCCCCATTACTTTGTGTGAGCGGCAGTGCGAAAAGATGCGGTGACGCTTCACAGGTCTCAGAGGAAGCCTGTGGTAGCCTTCGCCCTCCTTGCACTGGTGATATCGTGTGACTGGGGGAGTCCTTTATTAGTGGGTGGAATTGGAAATAACTAAATTGGGGAGAAAATGTTTGGGGGAAAAAAAAGTAAATACGTCAGAAAGCTGCTGAGGGTGAACAATTTGCAACAACAGTTTTAAATTTTATATTTTTATTGTACAAAGTAACTGTAAAAAAGGCCAATGATATTTTTGCCAATGATTGTCTATGGAGATTATACAAACTGTGTGCAACTGAATGTCTTTGTCTATGTCAGCAGTAGGTGTACCTTAAAGTAGCTCAATTCACTCATTAGAAGGTGTGTCTGGATACTTTTAAACATTTTTAGTGTTTGATCTGCTTATCAGTAATAGTAAGATTGTAAAAAAATAGTAACTATTGCACCTTTTTAATGTAAATTTTATAGAGGTTATGGAGGAGCTCTCACTCTTGTATAATGGTCATATTCTGCTCACGCAGTTCTCTGTTCACATTGTGACCCTTTATATTAACCCAGTGTTTCCCAACCCACGTCCTGCACATTTTGTGTTTTCCTTCATTTAGTCCACTTGATTTGACTCATTAAGGGCTCAGCTATACTTCTGCATCTGCTTGTTAACGAATATCTGCAGGCACTGTGCACAGGTGATTTTGTAGGCTGCCAACAAGTTTGCACATAATGCTAGCGTGCACTGGATGACAGATGACAGCCAAAATGGAATATTTTAATAACTAAATCCTCTATAAACAAATGAAGATGAACGTTAATTTTTAACCCAAGAGAGGATTTTCTTCTACATTGTGTTGCATTGTAGGGAAAGAATGGAAAGATAAAAGGCACATTTTTCTGTGATAAATATGAATAAATATTTTGATGGATAACATAAAATAATAAAATAATAGATAAACTAATCTCCCTTTAAGTAATTCATTGGAGGGAGATTATTGGTTGATGTAATGTCAAAAAGGGTTATGTAAAGGCTTGCAGTGACACACCTTCTCAACTGTTTGATTTGCTGTGCGCTCTTGTTTGTCCTAAGCTAAATCTTTCTCTGCTCAGCCAACCAGCACTTGCTTGATACACTGCACCGCAGATTCAGACGTGTAGTTGAGATTTTGAAGGTACGCATGTTGGCTCCTCTTTAAGCCTCTGCGAGTTATTCTTGTCCATAAACCACCTTCTCTGCATCTCTATGCAGAAATATTTACAAGCAGAAGTATAAATTGGCCTTAACTAATTAACAAGTTCCTCAAGTGCTGGATGAGGTTACAATAAGAAAAGCATAGAAATGTGCAGAGCAGAACTGGGATTGTGACCATTTGTGTTAACTTGTGACTGATGTCTAAAGAATGGGTCAGTAAATACTCTCCGTCTGTCTCTCGTTCTCTCTTTTGCTGTCTAGCTAAAGCCACCACTCTGTTCAGTAACCACACTAAATCTATAGTGTGGGGCATGCAGACTCGGGCAGTGCAGGGTATGCTGGACTTTGACTATGTGTGCTCTCGAGAGGAGCCCTCAGTAGCAGCCATGGTCTACCCTTTCACGTGAGTACAATCTGAGGAAATGGCTGTTTAAGTTAGTGATGGCACAGTGCAACCTTTTCTTTTCCGAAACAGACGTTAAAATCTTTAGTGGCCGATACTGATCTGATATTTTTTTCTTCAAATACTGCTAAGCTTTAGCATGAGCTGTTTTTTATTGAAACACTTCACTTAAGATGAGCATTTAAAAGTAGGCTAATGTGCTGGCACTAAACGGCCAACAACATCAACATCTATTAATAGAATTCACTCCGTTTTGTATCCCGTTTTTCGTGAGGATGTAAAGGTTTTTGAATGTGTTTGTATCAGTGGTGACCACAAGCAGAAGTTCTACTGGGGTCATAAGGAGATCTTGTTGCCAGTCTATAAGAACATGGCTGAGGCCATGAAGAAGCACCCGGAAGTGGACGTCCTGATCAGCTTTGCATCTCTCCGCTCTGCGTACGACAGCACCATGGAAACCATGCAGTACCCACAGGTGAGAGTTCTGTTTGGGTGTTTTTCAGTCTTTCTCTTAAACAGTTTGCTGTTTATTGTAAGATTATTACTTTGTAAACGTTAGTTAACGTGGTGCATGATTTACAGTAAGACTGTAGCAGTACAGCTGTTCACTTGCACCAGCACTTTTTTTTAAATTATTATTATTATTATTATTATTATTATTACTACAATTTGAATGAACAGTCTGATAGGTATATCCCAGTTCATCATTAAAATTGTAATTGGAATGCCAGTACTTTGAATGCTTCTACCTTTGTGATCCATTCAGTTAATGCATTCAGAAGTCTGAGTTCCCTCAGATCATTAAAAAAATCAAATTAATTTGAAAATTTTAAGGTCATAAAATGATCTAGATGACTTTTAGAGGCATTAAATGTAGCAATGTTCAGGTATATTCATAAGCCGATAAGTCCATCCCTAATTAAAAATAAAGTGGAAAGTCTTAAGTTCCTAAAACATAGCTCATTTTATATATTAGAATAATCTAAAACTGTATATCAACTAAAACTAACCAGCTCACAGCTTGTTTTTGCTATGTTGAGGTCTTAAAGATGAAAAAAGCATTAATTTTGGTTTTAAAAATTGTTCAGCAGTAAGCTAAATGAGTTGTGCTACATTTGGATTGGAGGGATTGGATGACCACTTTTTTTTAGTACCTAAGCCTGAAGCGGGTGGTTAGGCCTATCTTTGTTTTTGACATCTTGATGTTTAAGACAAAATCAATATGCAATGCATGAAAAAAACTAAAACTGAAAATTCATTTTTTCACATTTTCACTGAAAATGCAATGAAAGTACACAGAACAAAACCATTTGAATGAGTAATCTGAACAATGAACCTCTTTATCAACAGATAAAAGTCTTTATTGTCTATATATTTATGTCTGTCAGTAGGCGTTTATTGGTGATATGTGTTGCTATCTGTGTAGAACAACATTGCACTCCTGACAACTCTGACATGCTGCACGTTTTTATTGTTTATGGCCATTTTATTGTTTTTGGCTTTTTTCCAAACGTTAAACTAAATTAGTCTTCAAAATAATCTATAGATTACTGTTCATATAACTGATAGTGACTGTTGTAGTCTCTGAGTACATTTCCCTCTTCTGTGCATGTAAAACAAATAGGAGCATCATTGGTGTGTTGTGGTTTCGTTATGAACACGTCTCTGATTCCTTTTTCTGCTCTGCTGTCAGATCCACACTATAGCCATCATCGCTGAAGGCATTCCTGAAGCACTGACACGTAAACTGATCAAGACCGCAGATGAGAAAGGAGTCACCATCATCGGGCCTGCAACAGTAAATTCACGCACCATTAATGACCGTTGATGACGTGTGCAAGTGTCAGATTACTCTCCTTACTTTCAAATTAGTGTTTCAAGGTCTTATTTAGTGTTTGTCTGTTTAGGTTGGTGGTATAAAGCCAGGCTGCTTTAAGATTGGTAACACAGGAGGGATGCTGGACAACATTCTGGCATCGAAACTGTACCGGCCAGGCAGCGTGGCGTATGTGTCCCGATCCGGAGGCATGTCTAACGAGCTCAACAACATCATCTCCCGCACCACAGATGGGGTGTACGAGGGTGTGGCCATCGGAGGAGACCGGTGAGGGAGAACTTTGACTCCTTCACACTGCTTTAGATAAAATATCATTTGCCTTTACAGGCAGTTCAGTGTGGAGGTTCTTCAGGATGTTCTTATGAATTAGTTTATCTCCAACAACTTGCCTTTAACACTGGGAAATATGTATTTAATAATATTTCGTTGAATAAGAAAAAAAGATCTTTTGAGTAATTTTTAGTATCTTAAAAGAAATATTTCATTGCTTTAAGGCATGGTGGCTAGATCTAAGTAAAATAATTTGATCTGGTCTTAAAATAATAATCTAAAATTAGCAAAACTATCATGAATCTTGCTTTAAGCATTTTCTTAAAACCTCATTAGGTACAGAATTTCTGTACACTTCTCTTAAATAATTACTCTGCTTAAAATAAGATGCGTTCCTGAAAATGCTTCTTAGAATGAGGCATGACATGTTCACAAAATGCCACACAAATGATGGTAAATGGATTCATTAACTCCACAAGATGAACACACTGGCTGAAAAGGCAAAAGATTTGTCTTGTTGAAATGTCATTGTATGTATTTTATAAATATTTCATAGCATTTTTTGAGTTTTTATATGTATACTATAAAATACATAAAATGAAATTCCAACAAGACAGGCTAGATGTTTTTATGAGCAAAAAACTAAACTAGATTTGTATCTGTGAGATTAATCAGCCTGCTTCAGACTTCTGTTTATTTTAAGAATGCAAAGTTTTGGAATTTTTAAGATTGTAAAGCTAGATTTCTGTCTGATTAAAATAAGATATCTTGATCTTTTTTCTTTTTTCCTTAATAGTTTCAAAACTTTATAGTTCTCTTTTTATCTTAGGAGGTCTGTATAATTATGTAATTTATCTGAGTAAGGTCATTGTACGCAAAGTTCCTAAAAGCTAGGTGATTGATCTTGTATATCACTGTTGTCAGAAGAACACTGACACTGTCTCCCTCTGAACCCTCATTAGGGGGCTGCACCTGCATTTTTGACAGTCATGGCTTGTAGTTTTGTGCCTGCTGAGAGATTTTTTTAATTATTTTTTTTTTATTTCCCTGAAAGATGAGGAATCCTAAACCCTTCCCCAAACTTCCTTCTGTGTGTTTTTTTTTCTAAACAAATTAAAAGAAAAGTAAAATTAAATGAAAATAGGAACCAGTTCTGATGGTATATGTGTGTCTCCCCTTTTTCTGCAGTTACCCTGGTTCTACGTTCATGGACCACGTTCTGCGTTACCAGGACACTCCTGGAGTGAAGATGATCGTAGTGCTCGGGGAGGTCAGGGCTTTCTCTTCTGTATTAACGTTGTTATACCCTTACTCAAAGTTTGACTCACAAGTTCAAGCTCTTGTGTGACCAGATCTTACTCAGCCCTGACTTTCTCTCCTGTTGTGTGTGCAGATTGGAGGCACTGAAGAGTATAAGATCTGCGAGGGTGTTAAAGAGGGCAGGATCACTAAGCCTGTGGTCTGCTGGTGTATTGGCACATGTGCCACTATGTTCTCCTCTGAGGTTCACTGGCTGCTTCTTTAAATGTTACATATTTACTTGCCATTAATATAAAGATTATCGATAATTTGTTTTAGGTACAAAAACAATTGCATACATATATGTGCATAAAATAAATATACTAATCTGTTCTGATTTAATATTTTTGTGTTGGCGTAACCATTTCCAAAGCGCTACTCAAAGAAGGTCCAGTATTTACGGTTACCATCCGATACCTAGTTTATCTGTGCAATCCTTCATTAAATTAAATCAGGTACTGATGATAGAATGGACCTGGATTGAAGATGATCGTAGTGCTCAGGGAGGTCGGGGCTTTTGTTTCCCCCCAAGCATTGCTCAAACTTGCTAGAGAAGTCAGGAGCCAAACCAAAACTTGAAGTTCTTCTTACATTTTACTGTATTTATTTGCATTTGTATTTTTTCTAGTTTTTTTATAGTGTATTTATTGGACAAAACATGTAAATCATTATCTTGGATGTCTAAGACTTCTGCACAGAACAAACAGTACAATTAAACATCACAACTCTATATGTATTGTTTAAAAAAATGACAGGCATGGACTGTTTTTGTACGACTCACATTTGCACATTTGTACATCACATTTTCTTTTATAGGCCATTCATCTCATTTGATCCGTTTTTAATAGTAAAATTGCTGATAAACACTTCACATATTCAGACTAATTGTAAAATAAAAGCTAAATTGATCAGTGTGTGTTGACTATGTTTGTGTGGTGTTGTAGGTGCAGTTTGGTCATGCGGGAGCGTGTGCGAATCAGGCGTCGGAGACGGCTGTGGCTAAAAACCAGGCACTGCGGGAAGCCGGTGTGTTTGTGCCCAAGAGCTTCGATGAGCTGGGAGATGTTATCAGGTCAGAATTTACCAATAGACTAACGACCTGACTTTTACTTTACACAAATATAGCCATTTTATTTCCTATTCAAAACCACCAGTGAACCTACACGTCTTCAGTTTCAGTGCTGATAATGGTACACTACTGGTAAATCCAAAAATGTTTTTTTTAAACACTGTATTGTCTTACAACTTGCTGCATATACTTCTCTAGCATTTGTGCATATAAAGACAAGATATAAAGACAAAACTCAAAACTTATAAAACAGTGGCTCATGCATCAGACACCTATTTGAAACCCTTTCATGTAACTATTTTCTGTGAAACCTTTCAGAGGCATTTAATGCTTTGCATGTCTTGTTCCTATCAGCAGACTCTTTATCTAGAATGGAGCCTTTCACATTAAACCACCCTGAATGACTTGGTTTATGTTTTAATGAGGTGTTTTCACAAGGATTAAAAGTATTCCTGTGCGTCATCGATCTGTATGATGTTCTGTTATAACTGGCTCTGCATTAAGGTTTTATAAGGATGTGCTCTGTGTGCCTGTACAGGTCGGTGTATGATGACCTGGTAGCGAATGGGGTTATTATTCCAGCTCAGGAGGTTCCGCCTCCAACAGTGCCAATGGACTACTCCTGGGCCAGGGTAACTCTCAGTACTGCTTACACAACCTCAAAGAATACAATCAGTACTATACCAGGGTTTTTTTTTCTATTATTATTATTATTATTATTATTATTATTTTGCTTTCATTAAAAAGGAGAAAAGACATCTCGTCATACATTTTGAAGTGTGAAAAAAATCCTTTGTAAACAAACTATATCAGAGACAAATTGTCCAACCTTCTTTACACACACTCACTCTCTCTCTCTCTCTCTCACTCACTCACTCACTCACACATTTGTTCTCCTTTTATATTGCTATGAATTGTAATTCATCTGCTTAGACGCATAAGAGTCTGTCTGCTTTCAGTGCAGTTTTGAGGTATTGGAGATGAAATATTTCAAGAATGCCAGATAGAACCTTTAATTGACAATAATTGATAACGAAAAGAAATAGCATAGAATAAAAATTCTGAAATACAGTTGAATAAAAAATACATGCGGATTCAATAACTACCACACATTCTTTCTCTCTGTGTTTAGGAGCTTGGTCTGATCCGTAAGCCAGCGTCCTTCATGACGAGTATCTGCGATGAGCGAGGTCAGGAGCTGATCTATGCTGGCATGCCCATCACTGAGGTCTTTAAAGAGGAGATGGGCTTGGGAGGAGTCCTCGGGCTGCTCTGGTTCCAGAGGAGGTCTGACTGCTTATTTATTTATATATATGCACACGCGTGCACACAAACACACACCCCGCATTCATTTAAGCTTGGTATGTTTTATTTGTGGCCCACAACACAGCAGTTGTATTGGTGCTCAAGAAGAAGGAAACCTATAATAATAATACAGAGAAAATAATGAAGTTAGTATAAAAGGTAATTTAAAAAATAATGACGTTAATATAATAAACTTAATATCCAGAATGAAGTTAAAGTAAAATTACACTCAGAATGAAGTTTTTAAAAATAACACCCAGAACGAAGTTATAATAAAATCAGAATGAAAATTCAGAATGAAATTACAGTATAATTAAAATATGAATACCCACAAGGCATCATATTCAAGTGATCACATCTAGAGTCAGATAACTGTGCAAGAGGTAACCAAATGAACAGTGACTTCTTATTGTTGCCAAAAAAACATAAAACTTGTGTGAAATATGCAGAAAAATCTCCATCTTGCCTGAATGTCACTTAGCTGTGCACTTATTTTGGCAAAAAAAAAAATTGTGCAATTATTCTCAAAACCCGTGATGTACTGTTCTCTTTAAAATTGGGGGAAAAATGCACAAAGTTCAGGACCTACAGTGGATAACAGTATTTCATACAGTGTCAGAAACCACATGAGCAAGTGTACAAAGCTACACAGTATAAAACTACACAGGCGAACTTCAGACAAAACATGTCTTAGTTGATCAAATACTTTTGGGGAAGGGGGAGTTGGATAAAATTTATTATTTGCCACCACTGAGTACTGAATTTAAAATACAAGAAGTTTCCACTGAGCAGTTTTACACAATTGGTTGTGTTGACTCCTCCTATTCAGGCATACATGGTCTGAATGTGGGCTGTTTCTTCGTACTGTAAAATCATGTATGTTTTAATACTTTATTAACTGATTTGTGGTCGCACTGTTTTTTTTTTTTGTTTTTTTTAATCCCACCGCTACAGGTTACCTCGCTATGCGTGTCAGTTCATTGAGATGTGTCTGATGGTGACGGCAGATCACGGCCCTGCAGTGTCAGGAGCCCACAACACCATTGTGTGTGCACGTGCAGGAAAAGACCTCGTCTCCAGCCTCACCTCTGGCCTGCTTACCATTGTAAGACCTGACTCATTATTGCACATATATAACTGTGTTCGTCTTACTGCAGATGTAACTGCTACAACTCTGCACAATAAGACTGAAGTAAACAGTCACTGTGGGTTACAGAAGCCAATTTCATGCAGTGTTATTTCATGCAGGAAGTAAACAGTCAGTCACTGCTACCTAGATTTAAAATGTTTGATATTTACAGCAAGTAATTGGATGTTTGTCAGTGTAATGTTTACTGATTATAAATAATTTTTCTTCAATTAACCACTTCTTTTCATATTCAGCAGTAATATATTGATGTATGGATTTGATCCTTTCTGCAATTTATTCTGTAATTAATTAGATATTGTAAAAAGAATAATGATGTCAAAGTTAACATGATACACTTTTAATAACACAAAAATTAAAGCATTTTACTATTGATCTTTTGAATCATTCTTAGTGGTGCAGGCTGAGGCCCAGCTGTATGTTGCTGTGGTAAATTCTGCAGTTGTCTCCTTCAAATATAGGTTTTAAGTATGGACAAAAGAATTAGGACACACCTTTTAATCACTGAATTCAGTTGTTTCATTCAGTCTCATAGCCACAAGTGTATAAAATCAAGCACCTAGCCATTCAGTCTGTCTTTACAAACATTTTTGAAAGAATGGGTCGTTCTAAAGAGCTCACTGAATTCGAGCTTGGTGCTGTAATAGGATGCAGCTGTTGCAACAAGTCAGTTTGCGAAATTTCGTCCCTGCTAGATGTTCCACAATCAGCTGTGAATGGGATTATTGAAAAGTAGAAGTGTTTAGGAACCACAGCAAGAGTGCTGAGGTGCATGGTGCATAAAGTTCGCCAACGCTCCGCTGACTCTATAACTGCAGAGTTCCAAATCTCCTCTGGCATTGACATCAGCACAAAAGCTGTGCACCAGAAGCTTCATGGCATGGGTTTCCATGGCCGAGCAGCTGCATGCAAGCCTTACATCACCAAGCACAAAGCCAAGCGTCCGATGGAGTGGTGTTAAGCACCACCACTGGACTCTGGAGCAGTGGAAACATATTCTGCTCCATATTAATGCCTATAGATTTGAGTAAGTTGTCATAAAAGCTCCTGTAGGTGTATTGAGTAGCTTGTAAAGTAATACTTTCAGCACCTTTAGCAGACAACGCTACCTACCCTTAAACCTAGTGACCTACCCACAAAATAAAGCAAGTAATTGCAGTTAATTATTTTAATATTTTTTTAAATACATCTTCATGGTAGAAAGTTTGCAAGTTGAATATATTTGTCTTGATACATGCTTGAATATGAATGTTGAGGGCATGTTTTGCAGGGGGACCGATTCGGTGGAGCTTTGGATGCAGCTGCTAAGCAGTTCAGTAAAGCCTTTGACAGCGGCATGCTGCCCATGGAGTTTGTAAACAAGATGAAGAAAGATGGCAAACTCATCATGGGCATCGGACACAGAGTGAAATCAGTAAGTTGATGTGCACACTCACATACAAATGGGCTTTCATGCAGTGAAATTGAACATGACCTCTTGCAATGGAAAAAAAAACGTCCTGTTAAACTAGACTATGCATAAGCTTTAGTGATCAGTGGCCAAAAAACAAAAGTTGACGATGGGTTACCAGCAGCTGTATGTGGCCTCCAAAAACAACAATAATATAAAAAATACATAAATACATGTACTCAGCATTCAGCAACAGTATGAACTGAAGACCATCTGAAATCGCCTAAAAGCTACTTTCTTGTTTATTTATGTACTGTGACCTTTCAACATCAAATTGTAACAAGCTGGCCAGTCTTGGTAAACTAAACTTAAACTAAACCATATCTTGTTGGCAAACAAGCCAAATCTCTCTTCTTTTGAGTTAACGTGCTCGACTTTGTGCACCTAGCACACTTCTGACAAAACAAAATTGAAGAGTGTTTTGAAAAATGTATGTCAGCTCATGATAGCATTTTGCTGGCTAACTTGCTTCACTTGTGCTATTGATTGTATTCCGGATATTAAAAGAGCATGCATGTGAGAGATTTGGAGGCAGTTTTTAGAGGAGGTGTACCCTTATTTAGGGGTTTTCAGCACCAAAAGCTGAAGAGGTTGTCCAGACGTGTACCCTTGTTATGAGGTCATGTCTGACCCTGCAAGACTAGAGACATACAAACGCGTCAATGACACAAAAGTGTTTAAAGCTCCCAGTTTATTAGAGCTCTCTCTTGCATATGAATACATGATGACACTGATAAACACATTAGTTTGCTCGATTTGTTAATGTTTTATATTTCTAACTGTTTTTCAGATCAATAACCCTGACATGAGGGTGCAGATCCTGAAGGACTTCGTGAAACAGCACTTTCCTGCTACACAGCTGCTGGATTATGCCCTCGATGTGGAGAAAATCACCACCTCAAAGGTTTGTTTGTATGTGTATGGGTACTTTGTACACTACCGTTCAAAGGTTTATTCATTTGATTGTTACTTAATTCCATAGTATCTTGCACAGGGTAGTTTGAAATACTATAAGCTAGACACCAGAAGATATTTCAAGACGTTATTTAATATTTTAAGTTTTAGAAACACAAAGAACAGATAAAATGCTGAATAAAATATTGTAATTATCTACTTGTGGTCATTTTTGGTAAGTAATTCATTGATGAGCCTTAGGATTTGATCACCATTTTTCAAATACCAGGTATAATGTTATGGATGTTAATTTCATTATATCTTAATTCTGGATTTTAATACTATTTCAGAACAAGTCTGGATGTTGTACAGCTTTCTCACTCATATGGAATTGTCTACAGCTTTGTTCATCATTCTGCACGCATTTAACATTTCTCCATTTTTTACAGATTAAATGGGCCAAACAGGCATTTTAAATATTTCTATTTTAACATGAATCCGGTAAAGTGCCATATCAAAAGTATGATGCAACTACCGGTTTAGCACAATAAATCATGCATAATTATGCTATGACATTTCAGTACCACAGCATTCAGATGCAGCGTGGGTGCACTTACCTGCCTCAAAGTTATTTACACAATAAAATTGTAGCACAGATCAGTCAATATAAAAATAATAAATTGACAGATTGCTAGTTTATGTTTAGTTCAAAAATCCAGTGATTCCAATCTTGGTTGATTACATTGGGCTTCCCAAATATGATTGTCTTTTACACTTCAAAACTTAAACCAAATTACTTTTTCCTTTTAGATGGCTGTATTTTACCTTGTTGTTGTCACAAATGTAGCAATATAAATATGTAAGTGTATTGTCTTCTTTACAGTCCCAACAATGAAAATATTAATATTTTGCCTTGTCTTTAACTCTCTCCTTTACAGAAGCCCAACCTGATCCTAAACGTAGATGGTTTGATTGGCGTAGCTTTTGTGGATCTACTAAGAACGTGTGGAGGATTCACTCGGTAAAGCACATGTAGTCCATGTAATTTCAGCCCAAAACATACTGTATGTTACACAAACCTCAATTTGAAAAAAGTTGAAACAGTATGTGAAATGGGGTCCCCGGGAATGAGCTGGAAGAAGTTGCGGGGGACAGGGTCATCTGGGATTCTCTGCTCTCCCAACTGCTACCGCGACCCTATCTGGACTAAGCAGTTAACGACGACGATGATGATGATGAGTATGTGAAATGCAAATAAACACAGAAAGCAATCATTTGTAAATCTGCTTTGACCTGTATTCAAAGACCATATATTTAATGTTTTGTTTCATCAACCTCATTGATTCAGGAAATATATACGCTCAGTCTGAAATTGATGCCTGCAACGTGCTCCAAAAACATTGAGACCAGGAACTTTGATGTGAAATGTTCATAAAATATTTTAAACAAGTGATGCAATCGTGTTTGGGTACAAAAGGAGCGTCCAAAAACAGCCAACTGAAGATTCCTATAACAGGAGAATGGCTTTCTACAGTGGATTAGTTTTTATCTTCAGTCACCAGATGCTTATTATGTGTTGTTTAAAAGAATACAAGGAAAAGTTAATATGTAAACACCAAATATCATGTTTTTGTACCGTTTTCTATTAAATACAGGTGAAATAGAACTGCTCATCACGGCTTTCTGTTTTTACTGGCATTTTACATACTTTTGGGTCCCAACTTTTTTGAAATTGAAGTTTCATCATTTAGTATTTTCATATAAGAACATTTTGGAGAGCTTTGCTTGTGTTTTGTTAACGGGCTCTTTGTGTGTTGGTTGCAGAGATGAAGCAGACGAGTTTGTGGAAATTGGAGCCCTTAACGGGATCTTTGTTCTAGGACGCAGCATGGGCTTTATCGGTAACTTATCCCTCTTCATATATGCCCTTTTGCCAGTGTTGTTCTTTCGCTCTCTCTGCCAAATGAACAACCGCTGGTTTAACCAGGTCTGATCAATCATGACTCTGCAGCAAGGAAGATTTATTTATTTATTTATTTATTTATTTATTTAATATTCCCTTCATACCAGGTCACTACCTGGACCAGAAGCGGCTGAAACAAGGCCTCTACCGCCACCCATGGGACGACATCTCCTACGTTCTTCCTGAGCACATGTCCATGTGACCTCCTCGCTAGGGAAACGACCCTGTACGGACGGAGACTGGCCATCCTTGCAGCAACTTACTTCTTTTCCTGCTCTTTCTGTCTTCTGCACAACAAAACTAACCTGTTTTTGGAAAACCTGGATTGGAAACTGTGGGTGGAGGGTCTAAGGAACATGTAGAAAGGGAGAAGCTGTTATTATTATTATTATTATTATTATTATTATTATGAGTAAAAAAACAAATAAAATAAAAATAAGAAACCTTTTTATTTAATTTCTGAACTGTGGAAGGGATCTGCAGCACCTCTATGGATTCAGTTACAATGAAGTTACAAGACACTTACCTATTTTTATTCATCAAGTCAGTCGTATTAGGTGCAGGAAGGGCGTTAAAGTACAAATCATCATAACCCACCGTAGAGGTACTGAAAGAAGGATTTTGATTGCCAAGCTAATGTTATAGCAGCACAATGACAAACATTTTCTTTTGACTAATGTCTTTCAGTTAACACTAAGATACACCTGCGATTTGCTTAAAGAAATAAAGCTAGTGATGTAGGAGGATTGTTACATAGAAGGTACTATGGAATCAGCAAGGTTATTTGGGACTCAAGGCCTATGGCTTGCTGCGTCTGCTTATGTGACCTTTTTAAAAAAAACTCAGCTTAAGTAGTTGTCGATTTAACTCAATGATGCTCCAAACAGTCGTATTATACCATTTATACTTCCACTTTGCTGCTCTGTTTCAGAACTGGGAGCTGCTTTGATTCAAACCAGGCCAATTGAGCGTTTCTTTAGCAGGTCTTAATCCGTTGCACTTCTGTAACGTTAAATGATAAGGATGACTGAGAGTTAGGGTGACATCCAGAAGCCTACGAAATTGGGATAAACACAATTGAGCAAAAAAAAGTACACACACTGGTAAAATCCTGGATTGCTGTGACATGAACACGAGGGCGTTCGCTTGAACAGTACGTTGCACTTTAAATACCGCAAAATACTGTTACATGGAAAAGAGGCTTTACATGAAGGGTTGACAGCTTTACAGTACTGACCCTGTTTATCTGAACGCGATGGGGGACGGTGAAAGGTGTCATAATTCACCTGAGAAGCAAACGCCTTTTGACGTGCATGACTGTCTCTGCCGCTCGTGGCTGCGTACCTCTCAGCTCGCTGAGATCTTTGTCCTTTCCTTTGGAACATCACTCCTTTTTTATGAGTCAAATCTTACTTTTGGGGAGACTGGCATTCTCCAGACTTTGAGTCTGTTTTTACGTTCGACTCAGTTATTTAAATGTGAAAATAAGTAAATGCTTTTGCTATGTTCTTTTGTTTTTAATATATGCCCAGAAACTAATACTGTAGAATAAAATAAAGATCTTTCTTGGTTAACTCTCTTGTTTGACACAGTGTTTGTGTTCATTGCTCAGCTGAAATTATCTGTCAGACTTACGCTTTCACTGATCTGTGAATAATGATCAATATTGTATGTGTTTTTGGCATTGTTGATGAAATTGAATGAAAGTATTGAATACAGCTTAGGGTTCCTTTTAACCCTTTAAACTCTAAGGGCACGCATTGATCCACACTTCAGTTCCTCACTTTATTAACTACAAAACATACACATTAATTTCATAGTAGTTACTGAAGTCTTAATATCTAAAATAAATAGTAAAAATATCAGATAAGAATGAAGTACATTAAAATAAATAATGCATTCATTTAATTGATTTGAATGCTTGCATAATTTCCACATGAATAAAATATATTACATTAACATAATTATTCCCAAAAGTAGGCTAAATGGGAAAATTGTATGGTGTATACATTTTGAATTGGATAAATGTCTATGCATTGCTGTGCTTTTTAAAGGTCTATAATCAAAGTGTTTGCACTGATTGGACTCCAGATGTCGGTACTGGTGTGGTATCAATGCTGATCTGATATTAAATAGGGCAAAAAGAAAATATATTCCAGTCCCCTATAAAATCTTTCCTGAAATACTACTCACTCTGCAAGGTATGTAGTTTTTCCTGTGGGGCTAATGATAGCCTACTTTTAGATGCTCATATTATGTGTAGTTTTTAAAGAAGAAATATCAGATTAGTATTGGTTGATACCCAAGGTTTCAATATCAATATATGGAAAAAAACAAATAATATTGTGTCAACTCTATATAAATTTGAATACTAAAATTAGGGGAACAAGTGGGGAGATGACCTAAAGCCTAGAAGTAACAACATGTAAATTTAATATAAATATATAAAGTGATGTAGTACAGTACTGTATTTTATTCTAGTTGTAATTGAATATGCTATTTAGTATTTGTGGTGCATATTGCTGCTGTCAGAACAAAACCTTGTATCTCCAAAATGGCCATTTTACAGGAGAAGGAAAAAACATACTTTATTTTTAATGTATTTTAATGTATATTTTTACGTCAATGGAATTTCCAAGTAATTTTGAGCTGTTTCTTTTGGTCCATTCATCATGAAATTTACATACAATGTAAAGGACAACAGGCATTTTCAATTTATGTTAAAAATGGAGATACAAGGTTTTGTTCTGACAACAGCGATACAATATGAATATATTTGTGACATTAACCCTACACTACAGCTACTGATGTGCCAATCACATCAGGACAAACCTCTGAATTTATTTATGGATAGCTAACATTACTTTCATCACTGCCTTTTAAATCATATATCAAAATATAGCTGATTGGTGTTTCTACTAACATTTTCAAGAAGTTTCATTAAAACATTATATTGTATATATTAAGGGAGGCACAGAAGAATCAAAATGTTATCCCTCAACAGGCTAACATTCAGTGCTCATGGCAAAATGGATGAATGTTGGTCAAGAAGGCAAACTTGGTACATTTTTGCTCTCAATTAAAAAACCATGTGAATGCATAAAGAGTTATTCTCTATAACATTATTATTTTATTATTATTATTATTATTATTATTATAGTATTTTTATATGTGGCACTTCATGTTCTATTTTGTTCCAATTATTAAATCTCAGAAAAACCAGAATATCATGAAGCATGGCAATGTTGTCTGAACAAAACCATTTCTCCAAAATGAGAACTTTACAGGAGAAGGAGAAATATACTCTGCTTTTACTGTAAGTCAATGGAACCAGACTTTTTTTTTCAAGTGATTTTGGGCCATTTTTGGTCCATTCATCATGAAATTTACACACAACGTAAAGGACAACAGGTATTTTCCAATTATGTCAAAAACTGAAAAACGACAAAAATGGAGATTTGGAGGTTTTGTTCCGACAGCAGCGATATTATGTATTGTGTCTTGAAGTATCATGATACAGCATTTCTGCCATTTTGCCCACCCCTACTTTCTATACGGAACCTTTTTTGAGAATGACAATATCGATGTCTCCCCTTTTAAAATTTAATTAAAACTACTGCGACAAAGACGATATTCAGACTGCGCCGGACAAAAAGTACTCAGTGGATTTTTAGATATTTAGAAGTGCTCCTCCCATAAAATAATCAGCCTTTTACTTGCTACAAGGCCCCATACTTTCTGAGGGTGGGGTGCTTGGACCCCGCAGATTGCAGCTCGATAAGCCTCGCCCGCGCTTCTGCGCCTGCGCCGTTCCGTCTCGTCCCGTGTTTATGTTGGGGTGTGTGTAGTGTGTGTGGTGTATGTTGGTGTGTGTGTGTCTCAGTCTCCTCTACCGGACGGGTTTACTGCGTTTTTTGCGATTCCGATCCGCTGAAGCCCGCATGGCCGCGGCAGCGCCCAACCCGGAGGAGTCGAACCGGAGCGGGACCGCAGGCGGGGTCGGCGGAGGAGGTTCCAGCTCGGCCACGGCGGCCGCGGCGGCGCTGTCTGGAGATGGAGACTCGGAGGAGGCCGAGGAGTTCTCCTCCGCCACCCACTGCTCAGAGCTCTCCCGCCGGCAGAACGAGCAGAGGAAACTCGGCCTCTTCTGCGACGTGACGCTGGTGTTCAGCGGCGGCGGAGGAGGTAAGCTTTCAGAGTTAGCCCGCTGTTTGTCAACAACCAGAAAAACTGGCCTTTTATTGATATAAAAACATCTGTAGTACCACTACTGGATTTCTGTAGTGCTGTGTAATAATACTTATATGGTCTCGTTAATATTGTATGAGGCTGAAGTTGGCTTCTTATTCGAATTTTCCGTTCCACCTTAAATGGTGCAGCAGTTACATTCTGGCGCCTGAGGCGCCAGAATGTAACTGCTGCACCATTTAAGGTGGAACGGGAAATTCTACCAAGAAGCTAACTTAAGCTTCGTAACTTAAGTAGCTGAATTTATTTAAATATTCTCATATGACTCCTGTGCAGATCCCTGCAGCACTGCTTTAGGTATTTCTCCTAGAAGGTGGAGGTTTATAGAGGAATAGCAAGAGTTAAAACCGACAAAAATGGACTCCTGGGCGCCAGTGAGTTAGCAATGTGGCTAGCAGTTAAAACAGGAACCTTATTAAATATCATAGCTAACCTGGCGAACAGTCATCTGGGCTCTGTCGTGATTGCTCTGCACTAACCTGGAAAATGCAGAAATCTGTAATGTAGCCACGGAAGTTCATTCCTCTCAGGTAGAGAACTAATCTTTTTTTATTCCCTCTCCTCTGTTTTTGACAGCAGTATGTCAAAATTTTGACTTATTATCCCGATATAATTAGCTGGTACCTAGAAATACTCACCTGTCTGAGATAATGTCTTCCTCGAAATATTGACTTGGTAACTCGAATTGACTTATTATCTCGAAAATGGCTTATTTACTTGAAATATTGACGTCTTATCTTGAAATGCCCTATGCTGTCAAAACGTATCTCAAAATAACGACTTGTATTGGGCAAATATCGACTTAATATTATCAACTTAACCTATTAACTTTGTATATTGAAATAAATGCTTACTTTCTCGAAATATTGACTTAATATTGATTTTTTTTTTAAAAACATTGACTTAGTATTTCCAATCTGCTCAGAACGTTGACTTCATAACTCTAAATAATGACCTAGTTTCTCGAAATATTATTTTGAGTTATTATTTAATAACACAAAATAATTCATGTTTCTTGAAACAATTACTTTCTTAAAATATTGACTTAATATCTTAAGAAGACTTTTCTTGAAACATTGACTTAGTGTTTTGTAATAATGTCTTGTTTTCTCAGTATGTTGACTTCAAACCTCAAAATAGTTTTCTCGAAATATTGACTTAGTATATAAAAAAATTACTTATTTTCTCATGTCAAAAGAATAAGTCATTTTTATTATTTCTGAATAATAAGCCATTATTTTGGGGCATCATTATTATGAGATACTAGTAAACATTTTGAGATACAAAGTCAACATTTTGACACACTGCTGCCAGAAACAGACAAGAAGAAAAGAAATCGTAGACAATTACTTTTTCTCCTCTACCTGGTGGGCATGGACTTTCATAGTAATCAGATTCACTGCTGAATAATGGCCTAACTGCAAACCACATCAGTGATCATATTTATAAATAATCATAAATAAATTCATTTTTTATCTGCCCTTACAAAAAAGACTATGAGATTGCTGTAAAATGATGGGACACTTTTAGAACACTCTTTTATAACCTATAGTAAAAACACGTCTGTATATATTGCTTTACCGTATTATTGTGATCTACAACCCTGTTTCCAAAAAGGTTGGGATGCTGTGCAGAATGTAAATAAAAACAGAATGCAAAGACGTGCAAATCATTTAAACCCTATATTTAATTGAAAATAGTACAAAGACAACATATCAAATGTTGAAACTGAGAAATGTTATTGGTTTTGAAAAATTTCTGGACATTTGGAATTTAATGCTAGTAACACGTTTCATTAAAATGTTGGGACAGGGGCAACAAAGACAGCTAAACTTATGTAATGCTGAGAAAAAATGCCTGGTGGAACATCTTACAACTGATTAGGTTATTTGGCAACAGGTCAGTAACATGACAGGGTATAAAACAAGCATCCCAGAGGAGTTCGTCACTCTGTGAAATATGCAGCAATTTAAGAATAACGTTTCTCAACGTAAAATAGCAAAGAGTGTGGGGATATTTCATCGTCTACAGTACATAACATCATTAAAGGATTCAGAGAATCCGGAGAATTCAAGGCCTCAGGGCTACTTGGCCCGCTCCCCAAACAACTATGGTCCCTGTGACTCAGTCTGTAAGTGCCTTGTGCTCATAACTAACTGGATGGGACAAAAATTCCTGCAGTTGAATAGAGATAAAACAAAGATTATTTTATTCAGGAATAGCAATGAGAAGCAAAGCCTAGCTGCCTGTCTGGATTCAAGAGCCCTAAAATCTAAAGAACTAGTACGTAACCTACTAACGGACTCTAATCTTAGTTTAAGCAGTCGTGTCAAAGCAGTTTAAGAACATCAACAAGATCAGAGATTTTCTGACTAAAGCCGACCCGGAGAAACTCATCCATGCCTTTATTTCTATCAGGATTATTGATTACTGTTATAGTCATCCAACTGTGCTCCCCAGTAAGACAGTCAACTAGCCTTAGATGATTCAAAATGCAGCTGCCAGAGTCTTACTAGGAGTAAAAGAAGGGAACACATCACACTGTTCTTAAATCCTTACACTGGCTATCAGTCTGTTACAGAATAGACTTTAAGATACTATTACTGGTCTATAAATCACTCAATGGTGCAGGACCAGCATATTTATTTCATATGTTGCAGAGATACGAGCAGAGCAGAACTCTCAGATCATTAGGAACTGGTCAGTTAGTCCTGCCGAAGGTAAAGACTAAACATGGAGAAGCAGCGTTTACTATGCTGCTCTTAAATGGACCCAGTTGACAGAGAGCATTAGAAGAGACCCGACACTGGACACTTAAGTCTGGGCTTAAAACGTTCCTATTTGAGCAGCTTTCAGCTCAGTTTAAACACTGTAGGCTCTTCTAGTCCTAGCCTGTAACAGCACTTTATTATCTTAATTAAATTGTAAATGTATTGATTCATTTTAAATCTGTTGTTTTAATCATGTCTTTAATTTCTATTTTCCTTTACTTTTTTATTTTGCTTTGCTTTTTTAAATGACTTCGTATTTATCACCTGTAAAGGACTTTGAATGACAGCAGTGTATGAAAGGTGCCATAAATAAACTTGCCTTGCCAAAAACTAATATTGACGGGCCGTGATCTTCAGGCCCTCAGGTGGCACTACATTAAAAACAGACACGGCTCTGTGGTGGAATCACTGTATGGGTTCAGGAACACCTCCCAAAACCACTGTCTGTAAACACAGTTCGTCGCTGCATCCACAAATGCAAGTTAAAACTCTACCATGTAAAGATGAAACCATATATAAACAGGATCTGACGAATCAAAATTATATATTCTTTTTGGAAATCATGGACGTCATGTCCTGCGGGCTAAAGAGGAGAGGGACCGTCCGACTTATCAGCGCACAGTTCAAAAGCCAGCATCAGTGATGGTATAGGGGTGCATTAGTGCACATGGCATGGGTGACCTGCACATCTTTGAAGGCAACATTAATGCTGAATGTAGTAGTTTTAAAAGCAACATATGCTGCCATCCAAATGACGTCTTTTTCAGGGAAGGACTTGCTTATTTCAGCAAGACAATACCAAACCACATTCTGCATGTGTTAAAACAGCATTCCTCTGTAGAAAAAGAGTCCGGGTCCCAAACTGGCCTGTCTACATTCCAGACCTGTCACTAATTGAAAACATGTGGCTCATTATAAAACCAAAAATATGGCAATGGAGACCCCAAACTGTTGAGCAGCTGAAATTCTTTATAAAGCAAGAATGGGAAAACATTTCACGTTCAAAACTACAGCAATTGGTCTCCCCAATTCCCAAACACTTACAGAGTGTTGTTAAAAGAACAGGTAATGCAACACAGTGGTAAACATGCCCCTGTCACTTTTTTTGAAACATTTGCTGACATCAGATTCAAAAATGGCACATATTTTTCAACAAACAATAAAATGTAACAGTTTCAACATTTGATATATTGTCTTTATCAATTAAATACAGTGTTTAAATGATTTGCACATCATTTGCATTCAAAATTTACATTTTGTACAGAGTTTTATAGTACTTCATAGTACTAAACTACAGTAATTGTCTGAATTTACTATTTACTACTTTTCAACTTCCCACAGACCTCGTCTCAGGTGGAGGAGGAGGTAGTAGTGCTGTGCCCCATCACAGCTTTGAGCTGTGTGCCCACCGGTCTGTCCTGGCAGCAGCCACCGACTACTTCACCCCGCTGCTGGGTGGCCAGTTCTCCGAATCAGTGTCCCGCCGGGTGGAGATGAAAGAGTGGAGCAGTGAGGCAGGGACCTGAGAGGGACACGGTGGAAAGTGTAGTGCAGTTCATGTACACCGGAGAGATCAGAGTCAGCACGGCCAACGTGCACGAAGTGCTGGAGCTAGCAGACAGGTAAACGAATGGGGTTGGCTTCTTATTGCAATTTTCCCTTCCACCTTAAATGTTGCAACAGTTACATTTTGGCATCTGTCTGCACAGCTAACCAACTCAGCACAGTGACTTTGCATGTTTTGTGTGTTTATTTATGCACATATAACAATCAGGCTAGTTGGACAGTGACTTGTGCCATTTTTTTCATTTATATGTCTTTATTTGGGCATCCCTGGTCAAATTACACACATTTTAATGCACAATTACTGTTTATTTGCTGAACACTGGGGGAAAAAAACATGTAGCCTGTGCAAAAGTTACAGAAATATTTTATATGTTTTATTCTGTTCCAATTTTTAAACTCAGCAAATACATAGAAATTGTGTGCTAAAATGCTTAAAATGTTTAGGTTCCCCTGTAGAGAATGTTGACTTATTTTCACTTTGAAAATCAACAAAACATGAGTTGACCAGATTTGACCAGGAGTATTCAAACTTTTGCATGTGTCTACATGTATGTGTTAGTATGTTCAGTGTGCAGAATGAGGAAGAGAAACCTCTGGTATTATGATAGGTGGTATGTTATGATAGATGTTTAGTTTTATTGTTTTTGTTTATATCAGGTTCCTGCTGGTGCAGCTGAAGGAATTCTGCGGTGAGTTCCTGAAAAGAAAGCTGAGCCTGGCCAACTGCGTGGCTGTCCACAGCCTGGCACACATGTACACTCTAGACCAGCTAGCCTTGCGGGCTGCCGACATGATCCGTCGCAACTTCCACAAGGTCATCCAGGACGAGGAGTTTTACACTTTGCCGTTCCACCTGGTCCGGGACTGGCTGTCGGACGCCGAGATCACAGTGGACTCGGAGGAGGTTCTGTTTGACGCCGTGGTGAAGTGGGTGCAGAAGAACGCAGAAGAGCGGGAGAAGTACTTTGAGGAGCTTTTCCGCCTCCTGAGGCTGCCACAGATAAAGCCTACTTACTTGACGAGGGTAGTGAAGAACGAGCCACTGGTGGCACAGAACCCCGCCTGCCTTCAGCTAGTGTCTGATGCAGTGGAAGGCCATGCCATCCGCTTTGAGAACCTCAAGTCAGCTGATACAGAATTCTGGGCATCCTACATGGCTGCCTTCCAGCCCAGGTTTGGCCAGAACATGGATGTCATCATGGTTGTTGGTGGCGTGTCCGAAGGAGGTGACTACCTGAGTGAGTGTGTGGGCTACTTTGTGTACGAGGATCGTTGGGTCAATCTTCCGCATATTCACAATCACCTGGATGGTCATGCTATTGCAGCCACCGATTCACACGTATACGTGGCAGGTTCCATGGAACCAGGATTTGCCAAGACGGTGGAGCGGTACAATCCAAACCGTAATACCTGGGAGCAAGTGAGCAACCTCACCACACGCAAGCACTCCTTTGGGCTTACTTGCATCAAGAACATCCTCTACAGCATCGGCGGCCATGGCAACTTCAGTCCCGGGTTCAAGGATGTGAGTGTATATGAGCCAGAGCAGGACAAGTGGCATAACCTGGAGTCTGCACCCAAGATCCTGAGGGATGTCAAAGCAATCAGTGTGGAAGACCGCTACGTTTATGTAACTGCACGGACCCCTGTGGACACGGACAATGACGACGGCCTGAAGACGGTTACCACGCGTTACGACACCGACAGCCGGCAGTGGCAGGAAGTCGACTCCCTCCCTCTAATCGACAACTACTGCCTCTTCCAGATGGCCGTCGCTTCCACCAACTTCTACCACACGGCCTCCTGCTGCCCCAGGAGCTACGCCAACATCCGTGACGAAGTGGCCCGACAGAAGATTAGCGCCAGAATCTCTGACGATATCCTCGAGAGCCTTCCGCCAGAGGTGACTAGCATCGAGGGGGCTGCGATCTGTTATCTCGGCGATGATGTGTTTGTGATTGGTGGCTGGAAGAATAGTGACGACGTGGATAAGCAGTACCGCAAAGAGGCTTACCGCTACTGTGCTGAGAGAAAGCGCTGGATGCTCCTGCCCCCCATGCCCCAGCCACGCTGCCGGGCAACTGCCTGCCATGTCCGCATTCCTTACCGCTTCCTGTATGGCTGCCAGCGCTACCCAATGCCCCAGAATCTGGCGCGACAGCGGGACCGCATGCAGCAAATGCAGCAGCTACACCGACGCACGCTAACCTTGCGCCGGCAGCTGCAGTCCCAGATCGAATGCTAACAATCCTCCAGGCCACCGAGGGGGTGATGCCAAACGAGCTCCCGGAGATGCCGAAAGCGCAATGACATTCCGCCACTGACATGGCCCCATAAGCTGTTCTTATTTCATTGTATATATGTTCTTTGTATGTTTTTTGGTCCAGTGTTTGCTTTAGAGGGCGGGAAGCGGCCAAGGATTGTAAAAGAGAGTATTTTGAATGTGTATATTGGAATCGTATCATAATGTACAGAAAGGAAGTTGTCACTGCATCTTCAAGTATATTGTTCAGTCGTACTTGTTTCCTTTCCTACTTGTGTTAACTGAAGCACTGCTTCATGGCCTTGCTTACATTTTGCCTTAATTTTGCTGCTGGCAGTCATGAGGCACTGCAAAATATCATTCCGTCTATGAACGTCTTTGAACGTGTCGTCCGGCACTGTGAAGGTGGCCTGTGAAAGCAGTCCATTTGGAAACAATTGGCTGTGTCTATCAGGTCTAACCTGGTCTTAATATGGTCCACCATGTGTTTGACAATGATGCATGGTTTTGGTACAATCTTGTTTCGAATTTGGTGGAGGGAATCTGGTTCCATGCACCACACAAAGAAAGAAGCGAATCTTTCAGAAGCTTTACCACATCTGGGATTATTTCCTGTGCTTTGAAACATTTTCCAGATTCCATTGACCTGCTATCTGTCCAGGTGATTTACTTTCCTTAAAATCGAGGCTTTTGCTGTCATCAGTCTACAGTTCAGTCAGTCGTGGCTTTGCTTGGTCAGTTTAGCGGAGCTGGGTGAATGTTCTTTTGCATGTTAAGTTTGATGATGCTACGTTACCAGTTTTGAAAAGTTGCTAGCTTTCTCCCTCTCTCCAGTGGTTGAGCTAGTATGCAAAAGGGGAGGCAATTAGCGATTAGCCGCACAAGAAAAGAATGCATGAAAAAAAGTTTTACTTGCATTATGAGTTGGTGTGGTTAGGTTGTTCTTTTTGCTATTGACACTTTCCTTTATGTAGCAGTGTCTTGCACTTGAATTGGCATCTCCTGCATTTTGGGGTGTTGTTGAGGTTTTGGTTGTTTGGGTTTCTCCTTGATCTGTGGGCTCTGCACTAGTGGGAACATCGCAAAGCACTTGTTTAGGGGGTCTTCCTCTTGTCTTTAAACTATTGTTCAGTGAATAATCCAATGTGCACAGTTTTTACCCAAATGTAGTTGATCAGCCAAGTAGGATCAAATATTAGTTTCACTTGAGTATTCGATAAAATTCGGAGCTCACCAACACTGCTGCCGTCGTTGTCGCTCTTGGGCTAATGTAGCTAACAAGTAATGAAAGTCTGTGAACCAATTCTACCCTTTTCAAAACTTATTTTAACAAGAATTCCACAGCTTTGCCTCACCATTTCCCCTCAGAGGAATCCCTGATGCCATCTTAACTGTCATACCATTACTTTCTCAGCTCAAGTGAGTTTTACAAAATGTTAGAGGAGTGAGGGATTGAACATAAGTGTTCCCGGGCAGCGTAACGTCCAGATATAATTGCGATCTGTCGCATTTTTCCTTTTCAGTTCTGCACAAATTGTAGATGACTAAGAATGAGGAATCACAATAAGTACTTTAAAATATCCAATATTTCAACTATGACATTCGATTTGTTTCGATATGTTCAAACTGGGATTATGTGCCAGCTATTGAACGTGGCTGACACGGCTTCATTTTTGAAGACTGCAAGCTAAAAGCTACACAACTGGTGACAAGAAAAAGAAAGACAATGCTTCATGGTTCAAGCTTATAACCAGACAAAGCAATTGTTCACAAAATGTAGGGCTGGTCCAAACAGAATTTTACAGGCTTTGAACACTCTTTGGTATTTCTGAAAAAGTATTCAAATAGTTGTTCTCAAAATAACCCTATTTAACAGTATTTATGTTTCATAACTAATCATAATTCTTAGCATGTTTGTTTTTGCAGTTCAAAATGTATCCAGTAGGTGGCAACAGTGCATTAACAGTCTTGCTGGTGCTGAGCTGCTCATGTACCATGTGATGCTGTGCTAGAATTCACTCATTGAAAGACAGCTTTTATGAGTCACCTCACTTGTATATTGTTTATGAGTTCTTTTTTGCTTTTTATCGAGTTATTTGGCTAGCTCGCCATTTTTATGATAGAAAGCTGCACTGAGGGCGGCACACAGGCCAAGCTGTGTTCGGTCATAGCCTCTCGTTCCATGGCGTCAGTGCCTGGAGCGGCTAGTTTGAGCAAACTGTGTAAATTTGATTGTTCACTGAACTTCCTTTAATCAGTAATAGTACAAGGACTTAAAGGGAAAAGTTGTTGTGTAATTGTTTTAGCAGCAGTTGGGGAAGCTGACACACTTTCTTTCTTCTTTCTTTCTTTTGTCTACCTCAAGGCACATGAAATAATATTTGGACGTTTTGCAGTCCTTTATCGAGCTCTACATGTTAGACCTTTTTAAAGCAGATATTGCCAACATTCTTAACTGTACAATCCTGATACTTCACTTCCTCAGTGATGGGTCATGTTTTCCCCCCATTACAAACCACATACAGATGTGTAACAAACATCATTCCGTGTCTGTTAGTCAGACGTCTTCAGACTGTGACAGCTTACTGAGCTTCATGTTAACCAGCTGAGAAAATACCTCATCCTGTTATTATCCTTTTCTGTAATATAACATGTCGTGTTTTACTTGATGATCCATTTATATTGTTTGTTTTCCCAGACCCAGATCACAGGGGAAGTCCACTGATTTTTAGAAATTTCTGAATGTTTCAGTTGTTGAGATGTAAATCTTTCAGAGTGGTTTGATGTGAAATGGTTCCTTGTAGAGAGAAATACAGACTCAGATTTCTTTACAGTGGTGTTGTGATGTTTACAGCACAAATATAGCCATTTATTTATTTTCCAAAATGACCAGTGAACTTACACATCTAAGTATTTATATGAAATGTTGAAAGTGGGGAGAAAAGTCTTTTTTTAGGCCTTACAACACTATAAAATACATTTTAGGCCAAAATCTTCTCTCAGAACAATCATAAAACAATGTCTCGGGCCTTGAGCTGCATATTCATAACCATATAGAGGTATTAACCTCTTCGGAAGTCTGGCACCAACACTGAACAATTCTGTCTCTGTACGTTTCTGTGGAACAGCGCATTTCACACCAAACCACTCTGAATGACTACATCTTAGCTATTTAATTACACAGAAATTTTTAACAATTGTGGAATTCTTCTGTAAGTCTAAGCCTGGTCTAACAGTGGGACCACATTTTAGTCCAGGATTAGGCTTAATCCATGTCTGGGGAATTTGACTGTATGTTTGTTACACAACACAAAGTCAAGATGAACCACAATCGTACATTCCACATTTCGCTCTTTGGCTGGTTTGTGTGAGCTTCTTCCTAAAGCCACTTAGTAGCTCTATTTACACTTTATTTCATTCCTACTTTGCTTTCGGTTTTATTTCAGACATTGTTTTTTTAAGTATGAATATCTTCAAAAGCACATACTACACATTTTGAGAACTTTATTTCTCTGACTTGTCATTTTCTTAGTATTTTATTTTTTATTCCCATAGAACTGCGTGTTGTTGTCTGGTTTTAATGTGTACGAGTCAATGGCTGTGACTTTGTGGAGCTTCTGAATGAACCTCAGTCTGACTTTAAAGAGCAGCTGAACTCCTCGACCTTCTGATGTTTGCCTGAAGAACTCATTCCGCCGTCAATCCGTGCAGAAGTCTTATATATACACTTATCTTTAACTGAACTGATGCTGTTATGCAGTGGTGTCATGTGACTACAGTTCATAGAAATAGAATTGTACATTCAGTGCTGCCACCTAGAGGTCTAGTCCCAGTCCTACATGGAGCCTTTCACAGTTCAGCTCCACCACCAAGCTTGTGGGGCAGATACTGGGCATATATTAGTCCGCTACGTCTAGTTTATGCTTTTGATTTACATGCTAGAAACTGGAATTTGTGTCCGTCTCCTGCTGAAGTGAGTGAGCCCAAAGATATTGAACTCCTTCATTCCTTCCTGTGAGGAAAATCGAGGTGTGTGTGAGTGTGTGAGTGGCTGAAAGTATCAGAGGTGTATAGATGTAAAGAGAAAGGGAATTGTCCCCCCCTCCCCACCCCTTTCTCCTTGCTTAAGCCCTTGTAAAGTAATTTAAAGTCTTTAAATGGCATATTATTATTATATATTTTGCTTTGCATGTATTATCAGGTTATGCACAGCAAGATGTGGATTGCGATGATTTGCAATAAAACACATTTCTTAAATTCAGTCACCACTCTGAGTCTTTATTTTGACTTATTTATCTCTGTCTGTTTATTTAGGGGAAATGCTGCAAATAAACCAGTGTACCATATTAGCCCACTTGCACTTTTAATCTGAAATATTTTTTTTTTAATTATTATTGTAGTAATTGCAGGAAATCTCCTCCAATAAATACAAATGTTCTATGTCTGTTACTGTGAGTTTTGAGCTAAAGTGTTTCTTTTAGTTTGAGATATTTATGTGAATCTGGAGGGACTGTCCAGAACACATGAAAGCATGAATGCTTTGCTTTCTGGAAAGAAACATTATTCAGAAGTCTGGGACAAAAGTGAATAATACTCACATACTATATATATGAATGAGTGAATTAATTTCCTATATGGGAGTGTTGTTTAAGATTTAGATCTGTTATTTCCTTTTTCAAAAGATAGCTTCTTTGAGGTAACAGCTGAAGTCAGAAGTCACATGACCAGTAGCAGTCTAGACAGTTTGACCTCTTAAGGAAACACAGTGTCATTGATGCAATGCAGTGCATCTTATGAATCAGGAAAAAAGATATTTGAGTACTATTTGCTGCCCTTTGTGGAGAATCTTCAGCCAGCTAAACTTGAGCTACAAGCCAGGTCCATGAGTTGCGTCACATCTAATATGGAACTCTTTAAAACTCATCAAAGTTGGTTGAAGCACATTACAGTTATATTTAACTGTCATCATCATCATCAGGAGTTACCAATTATCTTTTTATATTAGTAAATATCTAGATATTGGGCTAAATGGAACACTGTCATGGCTAAACTACAGACATGTTAATTCTAATTTGGGAAGATAAGTTTAATTATTGAAGTTATCAATGCTTATAAATATTATTTGGTATCTCATACAGGCAATCAATAAGATTTCTGCTTTTATTGTTTTATTTTTGTGTAATTACAGAAAAAGCTTAAATTCCTTATTTACACTGTAGGCCCTAATAAGCTTACTAACTTATATGGACACCTGGCCATCACGCCTATATAAGTTTGCTGGACAAACTCCAAAACCATGGGCGTTAATACAGAGTTGGCCCCCTTTTTGCAGGTCAGACACTGATGAATTATAAGATAATCACTTTTTTGTGTGTGATATTTAGGACCACCTTAATAATGATGGAGGGCTCTGGTGTGGCAGAAACATAAACCTGCTGTTACATTTGGACCAGTCATTAAAGATTACATGTCCATACATAGTGCAGTCATAAAAGATGTGAGGTGTGTCTGTTCTGAGCTGGTTTCAACCAGTATTTTATACTTGTTGCTGAAAGGTTTTCTTCTTGGAGTATCGGTACAAGACAAACAACAGTAAGGTTTAAACTCCTTTAAATCATACACGAGGTGCCTTAAAAATGGACCATACTGATTTTTTCCTCTCAAGTCTCTCTGCTCTGACTGTGTTCTTCTTATTGTTATTGTTGAAAAGAGAGAAATTAGCCATGGTCAGGGCGTGTAATTACACGTAGCATAGTTCTTGGCTGCAAAACAGAATATTATGAGAGATACACCGTATTAGTTTGGCTGCCTGGTATAACACTGTTTTAAAATAATTGCTGTGTTCTGTTTTGTGCAGGATAAGAACAACAGAAATGGCGTCCTCTTCCTCAGTAAGTCGCTGGGAGTTGCCCTCGATAGGCAACATTTTACTTTACATGGAATGTGTTTACATGGAGTTCATGCAAAGAATCAGTGAGTAGAGGGGTTCCCAGTTTTTTCAACCTCAAGACCCACTTACTTATCACTAGAAACCAGGAAGGCCCACAGAGGAAAAACCTTTTTTTTGTGTGTGTGTGCATTTGCATGTCTTTTTCCTCTCATATGGGGCGTGGCAGGCTAAAAATATAATAATAAATATATTATAAATGCAAACCCAGACTTACTTTGCTCTGCTTTAAGCTTTAGGTCAGTTGTAGCTGCTTTTCTCGCATCTCAGTCAGGAAACTTTTCCACAAAAGTAGAGTTTCTTGTGAAATGTCTCTCAACTTTCGACTTTTTACAAGGCTGAAGTCGCTTCTAATCCACGAGCTTTGTGTCCGAATGGTCCTGTTCCACCTTAAATGGTGCCTGAGGGGCCAGTATGTACTGCTGCACCGTTTAAGGTGAAATGGGAAAATTCGAAAGAGAAGCCACCGAATGAGAAGACTTCAGCTTTGTGACTTAGTATTTAACAGTTTCTGGTTGCAGATTAAAGGAATAAGGAAACCAACTCTCTTTGCCTTTTCGTCAACTACGAGCTAGGCAAGGTTGTTAGCGTTGCTGTGTGACCAGCAGTCAGTCTTCAGCGTTAAAGGTTGGTGAATTAGCAGTTATACATTAACTCCAGCGTTTAAGACCATTTATTGTGAAAACTGTGTTAGAACTGTGTGTTATAACGATCAGCAGAGCTTTCTTTTACTACAAAGGAGGATTATGCTATTTTACCTAAAAATCTAGTTCTGCTGTGGAGCCACAACAGGGCAGTAAAAGGGCCGTGTGCTGACGACCCCTGACTTAGCTAAAGCGGAAAAAAACTTTTTCGTAACTGTTTACTAACAGTACTGCGCAGAGCCAGGGTCACTGATGAGACTTTTGAGGCTAAAGTGTTGCTGAAGTTTACCAAAGGACTCTGAATGTCACATCTGTATATCTTGCTGTAATGTGATGCACAAAATTGTTTGGTTTTTTTGTTGATTTTTGTTAGGAAAAGCCTGGAATGATTGACTTTACCTTTACTTTGTCTAAATTTTTGTTGGATATCACGCCTTTGGTTGTGTAAGTTTGATTGTTGGTTACACTAAACTCACTTCTTGGTGATCTTTTTGTATATTTGCAGCTTTTCAGTGGCATAAAATGCAGTGTGTTGTTCACACTTTCAGTTGGGCTTGTTTGGTGTGGAGATATACAAACATTCTTACACTCTAAAAAGTGGTGCACTACTTTTCAAAAAGTAGCTAAAAAGTAGCCACTACTTTCTCTGGAAAAGTAGCTAAATTGTAGCTAGCTACACATTTTAGGAAAGTAACTACTAATTTTTCAGTAACTACCCCAACCCTGCTGACAACGAAAGCCCATGTGAACCAGGAAATCACTTCAGTGCAACAACCACAGCAGCTGTTTTTCACTGTTTTTATCTGGTTCCACAGACTTACAGAAGAGTGGTGTGTTTGCAGATGAGAGGACAAACTGCTGCAGTCACAAGACAGGTTCACTGGCCATGTTGGATAGCAGATAAAATGGTGATCTCTGTAGTGTATAAGGACGTCTGGTTCCTGGTACTACAATCGCAAACAATTTTGACTTGGTAAATTTCTCTAGAAAGGCCTACTTCGCACCAAACCACTCTGAATGATTTTGTTTACATGTAAATCAATTAAGTAATTTTGTAAAATCAGTAGAGTTCCCCTTTAAGGGCCCTCTAAGATGCAAATACATAAATAATACAAAATGTCCATGTATCTATTTCTTTTAATAAAGTACAGTTTGTATTTATATAAACAAATACAGTCCATATATGAAAACTAAGCTTTTTTAATTCACTGTTTCTGTGACAAAACAATAAAACAAGCCATTTCCATAGATGGGGCCTATAGCAGTTTAGCCCCACCCACTCATACTGAAGTTATAAGAAGTGCTTCAGCCCTGACAACTTCTTGAAGGAAGCGGCCAATCAGATCAGAGCTCATTTACATATACCTTGAAGGCACAGTATCAAAAGCAGCCTGTTTGATTTGGAGGGATAAAGAGGGGATGGGGAATGGCTGTGTAAAAATTAATTAGGATTGTTTTTGGCACACAAACATCATGAGTGGAGCTCGCGTGTTGCCACGAGGTGGCGCCATTCAGACAAAAACCCATCTCAAAACTCATTCAAACTCTGCAGTTCTGCTCACTCAACTCGCCTTTGTGTGCTTCTGTCTCTTTATCGTGGTGTGCTGCTACTACGTGCTGTCCTGGATCAAAATCTATGAGGCTGATGTCATATTAAAAAAAACATGGCCAATCAGATTTCAGCAGGTATTTGACAGCCTTAGAATTGGCCAATCACCACGAAACTTGGTATGTATCTCAGGTATGGACTCTCTACTGCCAGTTGAAGTATGACAGGTATCAACCACTAGGGGGCGATACTCATGTTTTAAAACACTAAAATAAAGTAAGTAAAAGAGTAAACGTTTTATATTGTCCAGATTATAAGAATAAAGTTGGCATCACATGATGCTCTCAAATGAACCTGACAACTTTGCAATCGGAAGTCATTAATTTATTATTACCGTTTTTCTACAAATGGACATTGTTTGAATGTGACCTATATTGAACTGGTCCTACATGTTAACTTCCTATTGGAATTTCTGTTCCACCTTAAATAGTGGCGCATTTACACGCTAGCGACCAAACAGGCATCTGAATGTAAGTGCTACATCATATAAGGTGGAACGGGAAATGGGAATGAAAAGCTAACTAAAAAGTGCCCCACTTAAGGTGGGGCCGCTGGTTTAGCCCCTAAATCACTACATATGCACACTCGGATGTAACGTTTATAGTTTGTCTAAATGTTCCACCATTTTTTAAATCTCGTGCCGCTGTCAGGCGTATCGTAGCAACGCTGACAGCTTCTCATTGGTCGAGAGTCACATTCTCTGATTGGGTCCTGAATATACCGTGACAGACAGGCGGAGGGAGAGCAGCGGGGTTTCCTTCTATCTCATACAAACCGCCCCGTCTTAACAGTCTGACCTGTAATATTTCTCTCCTGTAGATTTGCACTGTATTGATTCTCAAAACACAGAACAAAGCGAGTCCTGTATCAGTTCAATACGGAACACGTCTTTTAGTTTCTAACTAAGGGATGATTCCGTATTTTACGGGACGGTTGGCAACCCTGTCTGGCTATTAAACATAGCCAGCTATGCTAGCTAAAAGCTCACTGCTAACACTAATGCTGTCCACGAACAAGTTAGCCTTCACTGTTTTTACCAGCTGGATAATATAAAGCAGCTT